ACCATCAAGGGTAAGGCTGATGCCGTCAAAGTCTATGGTATGTCCAATTCCCAGAACTGCCGTGCACCCGCTCACAAGACATAGAGAATCTCTGCAAGCAAGGTTGGAATGGCCAACGTGTGCGTGTCAAACTGGTTGCCCAAGAGAAGGACGGCAGTTTGAGAAAGATACAAGGACCAAAAGAAAGTAATGGGATCATCACGTCGGAGAGACCAACAGGGTTGTATCTCCCGAACCTACAAGGACCTGCTATAACGACACGGCCCTCTGCGTATGTTTTTCGGGCCAACTTGCTATCTCTATCTAACTTTTTCGAAGACATCCTCTCTATACGACCTCTGCTCATCACCAGGTATCCGTAAGCTACCCAACACCGTACACAACAATGGCGACTTGGGCTGCTCAACCAACGGCGCCTTCACTCGCTCCTACTATCGCCACAGCTACGACAGCATACCCATCTGGAGTCTGTCCGCCTCGACCTTCATATATACCACATTCAACCCATCCAAGCACCATGGCTCCACCAACGTCCTACAGCACTCGCTTCAATAGTGACTCTGCACGGCCTCCCTCGCCACCGTCTGCCCCTCCCCTTGTCCGTCGTGGCAATGACGGCAGCAAAATATTCATCTCTGGGTTACCATATTACCAGTCCGAGAGTGAACTGCGTGACCTACTCAGACGCTACGGCAACGTTTTCTACCTTGAGATTCACCCTGACAGCCGCAATCCCGGTAAAAACAAAGGGACCGCGCGGGCACGATACAAAACTCCAACCGAAGCCCTCAGTGCCGTGCGTGGCCTTGACGGCAGATACCTCTCTAATCGCAAGATCAGTGTCAAACAGGAGAAAGACGAACCTATGTCGACCGCAGCGGCCGGGAGCTCAAGCTCCGGCTCCGGCTCATCAAGAAGACGGTGGCAGGAGACACAGAGTGGGAGTGGCTCCTTGGCGCAGAAGAAGAACGTGGCTTCGTCCAAGACCACCAGTGCAAAAACCAAACGACACACCGGTGTGCCCTCGAAGGAGACTGCGAGAGAACCATCCCGAGCTGCAAGGAAAAGATCAGGACATAGCAGTGGCTCGACATCCCCAACAGGTCCACTTGTCGTTAATGGCGCGAGATGTTCTTCGACTCGACGAGGTAGCTGGGATGAGAAATCCGCGGATGATAGTGACGACAGCAGTGACGATAGTGAGGGGAGTGAAGAGGGCGTTACACTGGTAGCCGAGGAAGAAGACGAGGAGGAAGAGGATGATGACGATGACGACGACGACGACGACGAAGTCGGGCCAAAGGTACGTTCATATGGCACCCTCTTGTGATGAATTCCCAATAGGAATACCAACGTTGGCCTAACTATGCTAGCAGACAAGGGATATGCGCCATCGAGGCCGATTCTGAATTTCCTGGAGCTTTAGCCTCGTCTACGCCTTTCAAAACACCCCCTGAATTCGGCATTGATGAGCGTGGAACTTGGTGAACTATCTCGACAAGGAGAGCAGCGAGATTGTGTCTGAACACACCGGCACGGAACACCACCTTCACCTTGTAAGGGGCATTGATACTCGACGGGACCATGAGGGCCATCCTGTGTTGTCTGTGGATTCATTTCATGGCGTTTTGTTTGTTGTGTCGATTTGCTGCTGTGTCAGCCGGGCAATCAGGCAGTCGGCTTCTCTCTGCCCGCGCTTTTGACGCTGTTGCGATTGTTGCCTTGTTGCTCACTGAGTTGCACTCTTGTGACATTTTGCTCACTCCAAAAAGTTCTGTTGCTTGACCGATCTATCTGTCTTTCTGTCTGTCTGTCGGATGTGATGTGATGGGATTTGGCGGTGCTCAAAAGCTACCTATTATTTTCTCTAGGGGTATTGATTTATTCTTTATATTATTGTCAACTGAGTTTACATACCTCGCTAAGCCTGTCTTTGCGCGTGCGTTGGTAGTGTAGTGATTGATTTGATAACTTTTTCTTCTTGGATATCTAGACACCTCGATACCTAGATGTGTTTTGTCTGTTCTGTCTGCTCTGGTGTGGTGTGGTGTGGTGTGGTCTGATATCAAGTCATTAGTTGGCTATCTGGCTCTCTGGCTACATACATAACTGCCAGATACATACATCTACACCTTTCTCCCTCTCTCTCCACGTACAGACAACATGTGTAGACAAAACAGGCCATCTCACCTAGTAGCACCAGGGCTTAATGGAAATATGGGGAAAAAATGACAAAGATTGCAAAGTGTACAAAGTACGAGGTACATCGCGTGGGGAACAAGGGTCTGTCCGACAGAGAACGGAGCAAGCATAGCCCGAACAAGGACAACCATGTCCCTTTCTTCCAATTATATGAATAATTCCTGCTGAGCAACTTGCAAGGATATCGGTTTTTGGTGTTGGCTCCCCCGAAACAAAACACCTGTTTCGCCCGCCCCCTCCGTCCGCTCCCCCCTTTTTTTGGTGTCCCCCGCTCCAATATAATGGCTTACATCAAGAATAAAAGGCGCTCTTCTGGAAACTTTCTGCGCTGATATCGCCGGGTTTGCTGTCCATGTGTGGCCCTTTGACGTCAACAGTCGGCTTCTTCATCGTCGCCGGCGCATACAGAGCGTTGTACCGCGCCTTGTGCTCCTTGTCTCGCTCGCCCAGCGCGTCCATTACTGCCTGAGACTCGGGCTCTACTTCACCTGTGTTCCGGAGAAGTTTGGGCTTGTGTGAAGCCATCATCTCGTCCGATTCCATCATCGGCGGAGTGGCCTTTCCTTCTGTGATTTGTGGCGTGGCTTTTGGCATGGGTCTCTGAATCGGTTCGAGGTAGGGAGACGGGAGATATCCCATCTTGCCGTCTCGCGCGCGACACCTCCACCACTCGCTCGCGTTGCCCATGGGATCCGTCTTGGAGAGCACGGCAACAAAGTCGCCTTTCTTTGCTTCGAGGTCCATTCCACCAGACTGTGGAGTGGGAGTGTAGTCATACAACACTCGGCAAAAATCGAGTTTCTTGGGGTCGATGGGGATTTGTTCTCCGTTCGCACCCACGGCGTATGGCATCGCCATTTCCTGGTGCCGACGCATTTCCTCTTCCTGAGAGCGGGCCATGGCGCGGATCAACTTGCTCATGAGGTAGGGCAGGCCGAAGACGGCAATGGCGAACATGATAAACGGTTTCCTTGACGGACGGGCTGGTGCAGGTGAACCGTCAGGTAGTGTTGCAGGGGTCGAACTGTGACCACCATTGAGAAAGGATGAGAAGGCCGCAGGTGTGAGGGCTGTCGCATCGGCAGGTGGTGGCCGACCAGTAAGTTTTGCTACCAGGGTCCGAATCCATCGCATGAGCGTGAAAATCCCGAGAACTGACCCAAGGGTTTGGCGTAAATTGCCCAATTGTTCGGCCATAGAGACCATTGCTGTCCCGAGCTGTCAGTCTCTTGAGCAGGTTGTGGCGGGTAAAGAACTTACCGAAAAACGAAGAACGCGTCGTCATATATGAGCTCTCCAGCATTTGCGCAAATCCACCAAACGCGCCGACAATACTTTCCATGATCTGAAAAGTCGCGGCTGTGCTGTTGTTCCACGTCTGGGTCAGACTTTGGTTATTGGGGTCGCCTGGCATCCCTGGGTAGTTCCCATATCCTCCATACATGCCGCTGCCGTACATGCTGCTGCCATACCCATAGCCGCCTCCGTACATGCCTCCACCATACATGCCACCACCAAACCTCGAGTAAGGGGACGAATATGACGAATAGGGTCCCGAATAAGGTGTGTTATTCATGCCAAAGCGGTTCTGGTTTGTAAAGTTGGATGCATTCTGATTGACAACGTTGTTCAACGTCGAGGGTCGGTCGGGCAGCGCTGGGGCGCCGGAATCTGTGGCGGACGAGTCCATTGGTAAAGCCGCGGTCATAGCGGTAGAGGGTACAGGTGTACTTGTTCCAGAGGGAGCTGCAAAGGCTTGGTCAGGATCGAGGCTCTCTTGAAAGCACTTGGAAAACTATTTACCGGTTGATCCAGCACGCTCCCAGGGTTTGGGCGGCGAAACTGTCGTCATTCTTCTGTTATCTCGTCATTTCTTGCAGGGCTTTCTTATATCAGGCGGTGGTCGTGGTGTGAGGATAGGATGGTAGAAAAGGGTTTGTCGACGGGGGATGAGGCGACGTAGAGATGTGGTGGTTACGGCCGAGGGTGACGAGATGATGGATGATGGAGGTCGTGGTAGCGGGTGGGATTTTCTGGGGCTGACATATGAAATTCGCCGCCGCTGGAGAGGCTGGAAATTCACAGAAAGATGCCGAGGAAGTTTGCGGAGTCGGTGAACGCTAGGCTGCGGGTTGGTGAAAATTCCTCGTTGTGAAGGGCCTTTTCGCCGAGTCCATGGCGACCACCACCCTCCTTCGCTTATTTGTCGGCAGGAATCGGATATGCTGCTGATAAGAGGGTATGCCGCCTGGACCAGCACGGAGAGCTATGTAGGTATACTGGTAATAGATCACTACAAGTACGAGTGCAGGTACCTATACAAGTGCATCCTGCGGCAATGACTTGTGGATGCAGCCTGGCAGCCCAAGGCTTCGGCGCACTTTCCCCGCTCTATGATTCTCCGTAGTAAACAAGTACGGCGCAGCATCTAACCCGAAAACGCAAATGATTCCCCATCCACATGGGTGTCTCCAAGCGTCGTAACACATTGTGGTTGCTGTAATCCGTCCAACTCGTCCACGGTATAGCACTCGTCTCGTCGGCAGTGTTTCGATCCTTTTGCTCCTCGTCTGCTTTCGTCTGCTTTATGGTCTGCTGTAGCTGCTTTCCTAATCTCCCTTCTCTCCTGTAGAGAATACCTTTGATCCGACTATTCCATCACCATTGAGAGTCGCAACCGTCGCTTCGTTTCTGCCTGCCGAATATCCTGTGCTTCGACAGTGGGAAAAAAGATTGGAGGAGACTCGGTCCAGTGGTGACGATGCCCACGAAGCTATGATTGTGTCAACGATACGCCGATGAACTCGACCCTGAATGAGGGCGAGAGCTTCCTGCGCGACGAGGATCATGGTGTGCCTGAGGATGAGAATGGTCAAGAGTCAGGAGCGCAAGACGACCATGATGTGCCAGACATAGTCCCGGCCGAACCACACGAGCTGGCGGAGGGCGCGACTGAGACACTTGATGCAGTGCTGGAGGATGAAAATGGAGAAAGTGGTCAAATCGACGGAGAGATTGCCTCAGATGGGCCGGGAACAAATGGGACGGACAATATCCCTCCCTTTGATGAGGCGACGAATCTCCTGAGTATTGACGACTCGGCTTCGATTCCCGACGATACACCTTCTGTACAAGACTCGGTGCTTTCCTCCCCTCGAAGTGATGCGGGCTCAGTCCGCAGTCCCGGCCGCAGAGGCAGCCCCTCGACTATCCACCGTCCCTTTGATATTCGATTTCAGTCTCGGCTGTCAAGCTCGCAACTCTCACCTCTGCGCTCGAGCTCACCCGCATTTCTCAACGCCCATTCCCGTCACGCCTCTGCTGCCAGTCATGGACTGCACACTCCTTCCGAGCCGGACGAGACCATAAATCCGTGGGATGTGATCAGATGGAGCAAGTTCAGAAAGATCACGGGGCAAGCATTCTCGGAGATTGGGAAGAGAAATTTTGGAAGCCCAATCTGTCTGGCGGTGGCAGATCAGTTGGTGCTGGGGACATCCAAGGGGATTGTTCTCGTCTTTGATCACCATCAAAACCACAAAGCAATCATCGGAAGTGGCACGAAAGCTGCTGAGAGTGGCGCTGTAACGGCGCTTGCAATATCTGCTGACCATACTACTATCGCCGTTGGACACGAAACAGGCCACATCTTTACCTGGGAACTTGCCAGACCTTCTAGACCCTTTTTACACATCCAGCCAATTGAAGCCTCTCAGCCTCAAGCTCGAAAGGGTGACGGTCATATATCAGACAGCGCCGTGCTGCACATCGGGTTTCTAGGCTACCGGCACACTGCGCTCGTCTCCGCCGATGATAAAGGCATGGCATTCTCACACCTAGCAACACGTGGCATGGGAGCAGTTGGCCGCGTTGTCCGCACTACTCGAATCCTTGGGCGGTACCCCGAGCTTGTCTCACGATCATCGAAGCCCTTGAAGAAAAGCTCTGTGCTAGCATTTTCACCATTGCCATTGGGGAATATAGAGCAAAGGACCGATAGTCTGGGTCTCGTGGCAATGCTGACACCATATTTGCTTGTCATTGTCTCAACTACACCCGTTGCACAGACCCAACATAAAGCTGCTCGGCCCAAAGAGGTCGCAGCGCACAGTGCTATGACCGCGGCATTGGCATGGTTTCCAGCCATCAAGCTCAAGTCCCAAGACTCTGAAACTTCAAAGACCAAGCTTGTTTATGCCTGGTCTAATATCCTCACGGTCCTGGAAGTTCACGGGACTCAGGGAGATGACGATACTGAAAAGAACAAACCTCCCGACCTGCAATTCTTAGCTCGAAGCCGCTACCAAGCGGACGAAGCAATTGTGGCTGTTCAGTGGTTAAATAGGTCGGTGCTGGCCGTCTTGACCATCACGCAGCAGCTCCTTATCATCGAGGATCTTACTATGCACGTAACAGAAGCCTTTGACCTGTTGAAGAAGAACATCTATCATGCAGATCTCTACTCGCAGCAGCTGCGAGCCATCATTGAACAGCTTGATGAAGAAGATACATCCATGCACGGTGTAGTTGCAGATGCGTTTCACATGAGCTTCCGGGCGTATAAAGGCAGGCTGTTCTTGCTTGGCTTCAATGATGTTTGGACTGGCGTCCTTACCAATTGGGCTGATCGCTTGTTAGCCATGATAAACGTCGGTGATTTCATTGGTGCCATCCGGCTTGCTACCAAATATTACCAAGGCGAAGGGGAAAAGGCCACCATCGGCCTGCCCGAGGAAGACAATGTTCGAGCAGGAGTCGTTAAGGAGAAGCTTGTCGAGATGATGAGCGCCTCCTTGAAGTACGCCTTTGGTAAGAACCAACAAGCTGGGAGTGATCAGATCGAAAAGCCACAGATGGCCGAGCTTGCAGACGCTTGTATCAAGGCATGTCTTGTCATGGAAGACGAGGACTTCCTTTTCGAAGAAGTGTTTTCTTGGTATGAGGAGCACGAGCAGGGACATCTGTTTGTGGATGTCCTTGAACCATACATCCTCGATCAAACCATCTCCTCTGTGCCTCCGCCTGCTCTAAAGACTCTGATCAACCACTTTGTACAAACACATACTCCATCGGTGCTGGAGGAGATCATCTGCATGCTGGACACTTCGACAATGGATATTGATCAAGTGACGACCCTGTGCAAGCAATATGCCCTATATGACGCCTACATCTACGTCTGGACAATGGCCCTCCAGGACTTTACGACACCCTTGATGCTGCTACTTGAGCTGGCGAACAATGAGGACCCTCCGCGCCAGCGCCAGCAAGTTGTCAACATGGTCGATAGGTACAATATTGCCCAGAAAATCTTCCCCTACATGTCCTTCATCCTCACCGGTCGCGTGTATCCCACCGGGAATATGCTAGGCGAAGAAGCCTCCGTGCTTGCCAAAGGTCAGGTCTACGACTACTTCTTTTCCGGGAGTTCAGGGGCAAATGGCGTGGCTCAAAGGAGGAGCAATTCCTTCTTGAACCCCACAGTCTCTTTTGAGAACCTGTCTCGGGTGCTCCATTTCGACACCGCAAGTTTCATTGCCGCTTTGAATGAGGCGTTTGAAGACAGCTATCTCAACTTGGGTGACGACGACGTGCTCAATAGTCTCAGTCTAAAACAAGCAGCAGCAACTCATACCTATACCCGCCAATACGTCGTTCGCATATTGCTGGAGGTAATGTCATCGGGTTTCGACTCTGATGACACGATTTATCTGGACATGTTCATCGCGCGCAACCTGGCCAAATACCCTCAATACTTGGTGCTCTCGGGCACAGTCTTACAAGAGATCTTTATTCGGTTGTGTCAATACCCGGAAGATGACATGCAAGAAGATGCCGAGTTGAGCATCGAATACCTCCTTTCCGTGTACCAGCCACCCAACGTCCTCGACTTTGTTCCATTACTCCGAGAAGCCAGATTCTACCGCGTGCTCAAGTCTGTCTTCAAGCAAGAACGTCAATACGCTGATATGATTTCGACTTTCTTCGTGGACAGTCAAGACCGAGTGGGCGTATTTGCCTCCATTGTCGAATGTCTCCGGTTAGAATCACCTCTAGCACAACGCCAGCGTCAAGAGGTCAGAGATGTCATACAGAAACACGCGCTTGACCTGATCAACATCGATGTCCAAAGGTGTGCCTCTACTATCGACGAGGTGGCGCCGGACCTGCACCACGTTTTCCTGCAAACAATGGCCGATGATCTCTCTGAACAGTTTGAGTATCTGAGAACGCTTCTGGAACCCGAAGAACATCTGAGCTCGCGTCGGAACTATGACCATGAGATCATGGAGCTTTATGTTCGCCTCCTATGCCGATTCGACCCTTCACACGTGAGAGATTATGTGGAGAATATAAAGGAAGGAGATATCCGACTCGCGGAGGTCCTTCCAACGATCGAGGACAATGGCATCATCGACGCTGTGGTGATCCTGCAGGTTCGCCAGGGCCAGGTGAAGGATGCGATGGATCGTTTGACACGACACTTGGCTCTCTTGGGCTCGACCCTGAAGAGCTTAAAGTCAGATCTGGTTGACCAGGAAGACGATTCATCCGTCATCCACCCGGCCACGAATGTTCTTGAGTCGCTAGAAAAGTACACCCGCGTGGGCATCTGGTTGTGCCAGGGACAGATGAAGAATGCACCCAAGTCACTGGCGGTTGCCAAATCCCCGAGAAGATCCGCCAGTGCGAACCGTGCGCTGTCTTTTCAAGAAAACCTCTGGCTTGAACTAATTCTGAGTGTGGTGTCGATCGCCCGCGATGTCTCTATCCATGCTCTGGTGAATGAGCAGACACACGAAGACCCAACAGGTCTCGAAATCACGCAAGCCCTACGCACAACCATTCAGCAGGTCTTCACCGCACTCCTGACCAGTACTACGTCGATGCGAGACGGTGCTTCCGGCCGAGATATGATGTTCCTACGCATTCTACGTGCATTCCTCTCTCATGCTGCCGAAGCGAGCCCGTCTTTATCAGAACTGCGGAATGTCATCAGCTCCATCTTTGCGGCCTATGCCTATGAGGAGTCACTTCTGGGTCTCTCGAACTCGATGCTCGACAAGGATGTGTTTGTACGCTTGGACGAAGTCGCTGGTCTTCGACAACGCGGTTGGAGGCCTCGAGGGCAGGTATGCGAAGTGTGTCGACGACGCATCTGGGGTCCCGGTGTCGGCGAAAGAGTTTGGGAGCAATGGCAGAAAAGAGAAGAAGGCCGGCTCCTCCGCCGACGCCGCACCCAGGACAATGAATCTGTGGTCGAGGACGATGAGACTCGAGGGAAGGGGAAAGCCACGGTCGGTGTCAGCTCGCAGGAGCCCTTGGAATCTGAGGGTGGCGGTGCAGGCACTGATCTGGCTGAGGAGCTCGGACCGATTGTGGCGTTTTCATGCCGCCATCTGTACCACCAGAAATGCCTGGGACAACCACGGATGGAAGATGGCGTTCCTCAACTAGTATGTCCGGCCTGTGTATAGTTTGATCTATTCGTATTCAGCTCTCGGTAGATACAGTACAATCAATATCCCGAGAAAAATATGTATGCATAATGCTATGTTTCCCATGTCCTTCTCCCGAAGACCTCACCCTCTCGAAGTCACTCTCCTTTTTCCTTGGTATAGCTCTTGGTATGGTGGAGCCATTTTGGCGCGGCGTCGGGCGCTGAGACAAGGAATGTTTCGAAGTGGCCCGATTGGGTCCAGCCTGACACGTGATATGGCCCGATCCGGACTCTTATTGGTTCACAGCTTCAACCTCACCTGCCCCTGGGATTCTCGACTTTCTCCCTTTTTTTTTCCTTTCTTCAGTTCTCCCTTTTACCAGCCCCCATGACAATCCACTTCCAAGACCAAGGCACCCAGATCCAACGCTTTGGCCTAATGGCCCTTTGGCCCTTTTTAAAGTTATCAGGCTTATCCGTCCCTACCGAGTTTCAAACATGCGGAGTCAAAGAGACGAGTTCGCCTGGCGCCATCGTTTCAAGCCCCATTCCCGCCATCTCAATTCTCGATCCTCTCAGTCTCTTCCAGGTTGATGGACGTTCACCTGCCTGCCAGCTCGGTGAAGGAAGGAAGCCTCTACTCTCCTTAATCAGCTCCTCTACAGGCATTGAGCAGAGCACTGCCGTCTTTCTGGGCCCGCCTGGAATATCTCGAATCTTGCAGGATGAGGGTCGTGTGCGATATTGTCATTTATAGTTCGGCTTTCCTCGCTTGGTGCTTGGTGGCCCGCCGATCCACGTTCACATGAGCGTATATGGATTACCCCTTACTTCTCGACAGCGCTTTCAGGCTTCACAGGCCCAATCCGTGAAGCCTATTGCTGTTCTGCACGTCAGCCGTACATGACAAGCCCGGACACGTACCTACCTCCTCATATGGATACTTCGTTTGGCCCCGCCTTTACACAGACGCCGAGGATGGATCTGGACCATGATTCACCCCTTTCTCTACACAGCCATGGACCCTTCTTGGTATACATATCTCGACGATTTTACCGTTGGACCTGGTCCGTACTCTTTCCCGTGGACAGGTCATTCTTCCATTTCTTTTCCCAGAGCCAGCATTTTTTGCGTCCACTCCTTTCTCATTTGAACTTGCGTCTTGCAGTTTGTCGTTCCTTTCTGTCGATCTTTTTTTGAAATCTAAGCAAAGATGTTGGCTTCTTCTGTTCTGGTCACCCTGGCGGGACTCATCTCCTTGAGCACAGCGGGATATGTGCTGGAGGATGACTACAGCGTAGATCAATTCTTTTCCATGTTTGATTTTTTCACAGTAGGGCCCGGCTCCCCTGTCGCTACTCTACATTGCGTGCTGACCAAACTATCAGGACCCGGATCCGACGAATGGGTATGTGCAATATGTGGACCAGAACACTGCACAGCGCGGCGGCCTCATAAACACCGACAGCGGCGCCGTCTATATGGGTGTTGACCATACAAATGTTGCGTCGGGTTCCGGTCGTCAAAGCGTCCGCCTGACGAGCAAAAAATCTTACAACCACGGTCTCATTATTCTCGACCTTTCCCATATGCCAGGTGGAATCTGTGGTGCTTGGCCTGCCTTTTGGACTGTCGGACCCAACTGGCCGAACGCAGGAGAAATCGACATTATCGAGGGTGTCAACTTGCAAACTTCCAATGCCATGACCCTACACACCAACGCTGGGTGTAGCATTTCTAACAACGGCATGTTTTCAGGCTCGGTAGCCACGTCCAACTGCGATATCAAGGCTGCGGGCCAAGCAACCAATGCGGGCTGCTCAATCTCGACTCCCAACGACGCCACCTACGGAACAGGATTCAACGATGCTGAAGGGGGCGTATACGCAACTGAATGGACCTCGTCTGCCATCAACATATGGTTCTTTTCGCGCTCAGCCATCCCCTCAGATATATCCTCGGGGTCACCCGACCCGGGCAACTGGGGGCAACCTCTGGCTTCGTTTGGCGGAAGCTGCAATATCGATGAGTTCTTCAACAACCAGCAGATCGTCTTTGACACGACCTTTTGCGGCGACTGGGCTGGCAATGTATGGGATTCTGACCCTGTGTGCAAATCTAAAGCGTCCACCTGCGAGAGCTACGTCCAAAACAACCCATCAGCGTTCCAAGATGCTTTCTGGACCGTCAACTCTCTTAAGGTCTTCCAGGGCAGCGGTAGCCAGGGTCCCAACGCCACTGCGCCATTCCCATCGTTCTCGTCGCATGCGCCCACTGCCTCTGTCAGCATTCCTGGTGGACCGCCAGGACCGCCGCCCGTCGGCCCTACCCAAACCAGCTTCTACTCAGCTCCTACAACGGGTTTCAGTCGTGGTGGTAATGGCCGCCATACCAAGACGTTCGGAACCTATGAAGCCACAGCGGCCAACTTTGTGGCCGTGCCAACTACAGCGTCAGTGGCAGCGGCGTCGTCTGCAGCGTCGTTCGACGGGCAAGTCTCTTCTATGACAGTTGGACCACCAGTTGTCGCTGTGGTCTCGTCGGACGGCACCATCAGCGATGCCCAAGAGTCTGGTGCCTCGCCACCCGCCACCACCCCTACCCCTCCGGCCGGGTCTTCAGACAACAACGAGAAGAACAACGCCGCCGCCCCTGCCGCCGTCACATGCACGACCGTCAGTGCCCTGGGCTACAAGGACTTCCAGAGCTGGGACGGGGACAAGAAGAGCCGGCGCGAGGCAGGTCCGGAGCCTGGCATCTTGTCCTCGTCGGCGGAAACGCTGCCTTTCCTCGACGAGGCACACGCCAAACGCCACTTGAGTCGGCACGGGCGCCGCGACATACACCGCCACCTGTTCAGACACGGTGCTGCGGCGGCTGGTCCGGGGAGTGAGGAGTGAGAGTTGTAAGACTTGTAAGAGAGGGAGATGAGAGCGACATCCCATCCCGTCTCGGCTCTAGTTAGTGCCAAGCGAGCGAGTGAGCGAGCAAGCAAAGCATGCAAGCGAAAGGAAAAAGAATACAAAAAAACCAACTCTTTCTCTGCCCGAATTGATCTTCTTAACGACGGAAATGATGGATGGATGAATGAACACTTTTTACGAAAATTCAAAACGCAAAACACCAATCGACATTTGGAGAAAGGCAAAGGAAAGACTCCAGATTGTTGGACGGAGAGGGAGGGAGGAGAGACTTGTGTGGACGGACGGACGGACAGATGGGTGGGTGGAACGTAGATGGGATGGTGAGGTGGGATCTATGAATGGCTATGTGGATGGGATAGATGGTCGGACAGGTAGGTAGGTAGATAGATAGACACAAAACACAAATACACCAAGGCGACAAGGCAACAAGGCAAACACATCACCATAACAAGTGACTGCGCTTCGATTTTCATGCTCATGTTTGACTTTGACTTGACGTGACTTGTATTCCAAATACCTCGTACTACCAAGTATCTCAAGGATCCTCCTGTTTACCCGTGGATGCTGTGTAGGCTGTGTAGATTGTATATTGTAGATATGTAGATCCCGAAAGGGGCGTGTCTACCGAGTAATAGTATACTACGTACTATGTACTACGTACTATGTACTACGTACTATGTACTACGTACTATGTACTACGTACTATGTACTACGTACTATGTACTACGTACTATGTACTACGTACTACGTACTATACTCTATCTCTATACTATACTTTACTCGGTATACTATACTCTGTGCGTCTCTTCCTTGTTCCTTGGCTTGTCTATCTACCCACATAAATACATACATAGGTAGCCCCATGTACATAGATATGAGACATGGGACATGCGCAGCCAGTAGGGTTTGTTGGTGTTGATATCCTCTCGTTTACAGAATTGACTATGCTCTATTAAGCGCGAGGGCGAGGATAAAGACAAAGACAAAGATGTGTATAAACCTCGAGACAGATTCCCCTCTTCCGGCTTCACCTTCCCCCTCTCCCTTCCTCTTCACCCTTGCCATCAGCCCTCACTGAATACCGAATATGTAGTCTCTCTCCTGCCACCCCCACCCCTACAGCTTTGCGGCCGTCTTGGTCTTGGTCTTGGGCCCTACGCCCGTGGGATCCTCGCCCGTCGTCCAGGTGATGGTCAGATGCACGCGCTCGATCCTCCACTGGCCGTCGGCGTCCTTTCTGAGGACCCAGTTGTAGAAGCCGCCCTCGTCAAAGTGGTCGTCGTAGACGTCCCTCTTCTTCATCCACTGCGCGATGCAGTTGGTGCGCACGTACGCGCGGCGGCGGTTCGGGGAGAACTCAATGTCAAAGTTGGACGACAGGAGCTGGCACCGCTCAAAGTAGCTCACGCCGCCAAACGCCCATGTCCCCTTGCCCGCGCGGCCGATGTGTTGGCCGTAGGGATAAACTGCCACGCCGTCTTCGCAGAAGAGGTTCTCCCATTCCTGTCGCTTCTCGAGGTCGAAACATGCGTCGTCGTGCAGTGCCGTGTAGTGGTTGAGCAGCCATTGGACGGCCTGGATGTCTTGTGTCTCCGACAGCGACTTTTGGAGGGATGACACTGTCTTCTGCAACGACGCCAGTTCGGCGAGTATCTTCTCTGTCTCGGCCATGGGGAGAGCGGGCGGTGGTCACTGTGGTGTGTATGGGGAGGTTCGTGGATCTCGTATCAATTGACAGCAAAGCCAGTCGTCGTAGTACCAACAATACTCTTTATGATCCGACAGCTTGTGGTCGAAGAAGGCGGACAGCTTTCGGAACGAGTCCAGGCTCTTCAACCCAGAGACTCCTAGAGTCTTCCGAAGGTCAGAGGGAAAGTGCTATGAATCTCCCTGATGTCCGATTGGGCAGCTCATTCCTGGTGTGCACTGGCTTTTGGATATATCCCTCAAGGACCATGCTTCACCCTTAAATAGGGTATCGAACGCGTCCGGGGAAACTGCAGCAGTCTGCCTCAAAGAACTACCGACTCCGCATTAATGCCCAGGTGTGCCCATGAGGCCGCAGAACTTTGTGGGGTTGAGATTCCCGTCTGGGTGCCGTCCAGTAGGAATACGTGGAGGCATAATGAGTGTCCAATGGGGATGCGTGGATGGACGTGTCCGTTCCCTGCGCGACGTGCCTCGGCGGGTTTGTAACTCCACAGTCCATCCCACAGTCCATATGGAATATGCTGTCGGATTGCATATAATATGTTGAGACTTATGTCCACCGACTCTGGCAGAGTAGGACACGAAGTTCAACAAGATTCAACCCACCCAGATACCATGTCTCGACACGGCAAACCATTCCTGGGCCTCGAAGGCTCTGCCCTTTCGTGGGCCATCAGCTTGTGCTCCGCCAGTGCCTTTCTTTTGTTTGGTAGGACCAACCGTTGAGAACAAAGAAGGAGAATACTGACCCCGGTTTTCTCTAGGCTATGACCAAGGGATCATGGGGAGTATCATCTCTACTCCTTATTTCCTCGAAGCCGTTAGCATCTCGGTGGGCATCTCCTTTGACTCTTCCCAGAAAATGGTGCTGACTGGCCTACAAAGGCGACCGATGCCGATACCATCTCTACGGTTGTTTCCATATACGATGTGGGGTGCATGGTCGGATGTCTTGTCGCTGCATGTTGGGGTTCATCTCTCGGTCGAAAGCGTACAATCGGAGTTGGGATGGTCATAATGGTGATCGGCAAGTAAAATGGTCGACAGTGGAAATACCAGAACTGACTCTTGTTCAAGGCGCTGTCCTTCAGGCCTCGTCATACAGTGTGGCTCAACTCATTGTCGGGAGAATCGTCTCTGGCATCGGGAATGGAATGAACACTGGAACAGTACCAACATGGGTCTCCGAGACGTCCAAAGCCAAGCATCGAGGGCAGTTGGTCGCAACTCAGTTGTCCATTGCAGCATTTGGCATTGTGATTGCATACTGGATGAATTATGGCTTCTTTCACCTCACTGGGCAGGTGGTGTGGCGCTTTCCAGTTGGTATGATGGACAATTCTATCGTTGCGTCGAGTGATACTGAATTTTTCTTGCAGCTTTCCAAGCCGCGTTTGCCATTCCCACCATTTTCGGTCTCTTCTGGCTCCCAGAAAGTCCACGATGGCTGTATTCGAAGAACCGAAATGAAGAGGCAGACATCGTCATGTCAGCCTTGAAGGGTCTTCCAATCGAACATGAAGTGATTCAAGCTGAACGCAGTGAAATTCTCGCCGCAATTGCTTTGGAAGATCACTTTGGTGAATACAGTCTGAAAACCATCTTCTATGATCGATCTGGTCAGAAGATCCCTCAGCGAATGGCGTTGGTCTTCATTATTCAGATGATCCAACAACTGCCCGGTGTATGTTACACCACTTCTCAAAGTCACACCGCAAATTGCTGAAACGTGCACCCAGGTCAATATTGTCATTTATTATTCCAGCACTGTCTTCTTGCAACTGGGGATATCTGCCAATCTTTCCCTGGTCTTGGGCGGCGTTGCGTCTATCAGCTTCTGGGTGGGTTCACTGTTTGGCATTGCGCTTATCGAGCGCGTTGGACGGAAGAAGCTGCTTGTCTCTGGGACAATTCCGATCCTGATTGGGTATTGCATTTACACGCCCATGGTCAAGAATGGAGGAACAGCACAACTCTGGGTGGCCTTCGGAGCGACGTGCTTGATCTGTGTGGCCTTCGGTTGGAGTTGGCTGCCGACGTGAGTGTGCACTTGTCGAGACTCTGGATACCAGCTGACATACAACAGTCCGTGGTGCCTTGGCCCTGAACTTGTGCCTGTGAGGTACAGGCACATCGGGAATGCGCTGAATGCCTTTGCAAACTGTGAGTGAGCTAGCCACGTGGCTGATCAAGGCTGACACTTGTTCGACTTAGGGACCTTTACTTTTATCATCGGTGAGTCCTGGCCTTGTCCCGTCGGATTCTCAATCGCTAACTGAGACTTGCAGTCAAGGTGGGCCCGATTGGCATTGCCAACATTCACTGGCGATTATACATCGTATTCATAATCTTCACCTTCCTTCAATTGCCCATCGGTAAGAGCCGTAAGCGGTTTTCCCTCCCGGACGGATGTGCTGACAGAAACTTAGTCTGGTTCCTATATCCCGAAACTCGTGGTTTAACCCTTGAGGAGATCGACACAGTCTTCGTGAAAGATCATGCGGTGACGGATGCCCTTGCAGAAAAGGCGGAGCATGTGCGCCATTTGGAGAGCAAACATGTTGATGTTACTTCAATAGATGCTGCGTAGGACGAGGAGGTAGAGTTGAGGGACAGTAGCGGCCTGTGTAGACTCCAAGCGTTGCATACTTGAGTCATCCAGCGGCACAGTCATGGTCTTAGCGTCGTCCTTAGACTTTTATTTTCCTAGAGGGGGACCTGAAAACTATTGTTAGACACCTCAGTGGAGGATAGAGGAGCTTGCCGTCCATTTTCCTCTGTCTGAACAACCGTAGATTGCGTGGCTAATGACACCCTCCCAGATCCAGAACGAGCCGCAGACACGGTCCGGGGTAGATTCCTGAGGTGATCACTTTCCGTGTGTGTTTCCGTGGTTATGAGAGAGCAAATGTCATAAGGATGGGAAGGGTATGTCTATGCTGAGGTGAAAAGGAGGGAAGAAGACGAATGTTTGGCATTTGGCATTTTGGCATTTTGCGGGGTGCATGACACTAAGCTGGACTGGACGCAGGCGACACTTGATGCTCATCCATCTCACTCCACACCAACTTCCACCACCATGTCGTCGTCGACTCACCATCCCACCAACCCCGTCCAGCCAGAGCCCAGCCAACCTGTCCGCGACGATGCCATGATGCAGTTTAGAGAGATCGCCCCTGACCGCAAAAGAGAACACGAGTCAGCTCTGGGCCTCCCTACACCACTCGTACCCCCACAACCCAGTGTCAAAAGAACCAAAACTGAACAGGCGTGTTCGAATTGCAGAGCGCTGCGCCGAAAAGTACGTGCCTACCCCAGATATGTGATGATTAAAAGAAGAGGTTTGACAGTAGTTCAAAACAGTGCAATGGAGCCAGCCCTTGCAAAACCTGTCAGGAAAACTCCCTCCCCTGCCAATATGGAGGTGACGCTCGTGCCCCGGAGAAACTCACTCTGGCAAAAGCGATGAAGTGAGTTCTTGCTGTCTCTTGATGAGACTCTGCAAGCTGACAGTAGTCTGCGTGTCTTAGGAGAATTGCGCAGCTTGAAGAACGCTTACGTATCTACGAAGGCTACACTACCGGACAGAGCCTCAACGACCCGGGTCTTAGTCCTCCTCGCTATTCCGATCAAATATATGGGACGACGACCGAAACGAATCGGAGCGAAGACGATATGGCCCAACTTCTTCGAGGTGTAAACTACCTGACAATCTCCCGAAATCCCGAGTTCTACGGCGGCTCTTCCTCCAATGCCATCATCAGTGCCGTGGAAGCAACAGATGAATCGGAAGACCAACCGTCTACTTCTCGGATGGAGTCACCACTAAACAGAGCTAGCTTGTGGCTCGAGAATGCTGCCAACCTTAGGTTCGCCAAAGTTGCAGGATCTTCGCTGCCTCCAAGGTCCGTCGCCGACGACTATGTCAACCGCTACTTTCAAACTGCCCATCGCCTATATCCCATCCTCAACCGCACCACTTTCATGGAACGTTATCGAAACTTTTGGGAAGGCCTACCTACAGAAGGAAAAGGGTATGAGCTTTGGGCTGCTGTCTTGTACATGGTCCTAGCCCACGGTCATCAATGCAGCACTGTCGACCCAGATGATCGAGTCCGAAACGATGCTCTTGCCTCACAGCATGGGGAGACTTGCTTCAATTTAGCCAAATCCACCTTTGCCGACGTTCCTTTTTCTGGTGGTGACATGTCTGCAGTAAACTCCATGTTTCTTGCCGTGAGTAATTTCCGGGTGGTGTCGGCTCATCGAATGCTAAGACCACGACCAGTTTGTCTGGCTCTTTAATCAACAGAGACTCCACGAAGCATATGCAATGCTGGGAACTTCGGTAAGAGTCGGTTACGCCATCGGTCTTCACCGAGAGCTCATGCCACTTGATGCTCACGTTCTTGATACTAATGGATGGTGCGCAACCTGGTGGTGAGTTTTCCGTTATACTTCAGCCTGCCTGAGATTTGCACTAAGGCGGGAATAGGTGCCTGTTCATATATGAAACGTTTGTTCTCCATCTCTTTAAGGCTATAGCTTTTCTGATCTTTCAGCAGGGAACTCGCCACACTATCTGGCCGTCCTTGTGGTATCCAACCACGAGAGGTTGACGTAAGACCGTTTCCCTTGGATACCTCGCCTATTGATCTCCAATATCTGGAGCGGATGCGACAGTTTTCCTATTTGGCATGGGACGCATATGAACAAGTTTACTCGCTCGCTTTCAAACACTCTGGAGTCAGTGAACGCGCTGCGGCTCTTCGTGCAGCTGATGGTGCCATCTGCGCTTGGTATGACAGCTGGTACCATGATTCCACATGGTCCAAGGAACCGCATGGCCTGGTTATCCGACTGCGTATGTACTTGACTTCCCCCCAGCTCGGGCCTGGTGTTATTGAACCTAATCGTTGTTGTGTTAGGCTACTTGAATCTTAGAATCCTCCTATACCGGGCATTCCTCAACCTGGTTGTACAGAAACGAGAGAAGCAGATGAACGTGAGTGATGAATCAGTCGTGGCAGCGGCAAAGTGCATCGAAATGGCCATGTCGCTGATAAACGTTACGACCACTTCTATCAACGCCGGAAGCTCTGGTACCCTCCAAGCAGCCCTGTTTCATACAATGGGTTACCTCTGGAATGCGACTCTTACGCTTCTGCTGTACGTGAGAAGCGAATCCACTCATGATCTTCTCGCGGCCACGATACCGGATCGGAGCAAGATTAATGACAACATCGAGTCCGCTGCGGTATTTTTCACCAGACACCAGGAGGCTTTACCATTTGCTCGTGTGGCATCAGAGAAGATCCATCGGCTATTGAAAAAGGTAGCCACCGGGTATGTCTCAAGCGACACACCAAGTACGTCGACCGATATCCACGCTGGCTTCGCTGTTCCCGATCTGGAGTCACCGGATCGAATACTGAATTTTGTCCCGGGATTCGACGTTCCAACATTTGATATTCCCCGTTTCAATTTTGAGATGGCCTTTTCGGATGCCCCACCACAAGGTGACCTCCCAGGCAATCATGCCAACGCGCACTGGAGTCCTGAAGGTGAAGGGTTCTATTTCTATGGATCTCCCGAGGCAGGATAGCAGGATTCGAGGTGCAGTCTGGCGTACTGCAACCACCTGTCATTTTTCCTGGGGTTCCAGACCGGAAGAGACCCCGTGGTACCTTTTGCCGGTGGGGAATCCGTTTGCACAATCTCTAGACTGACTGGGAAGTCTATTCCTTCCACCAACTGGAATGCGTGGAGCAACACACTCCGCAATATGGGGAAGCCCCTAATGCGCAAGCAAGTTTAATCCCAGACCCCGCGCCAACGTTCGTCTACGATCCCTCACAACCATCGAGGCAGGTCTCGCTGCAGCCAATCAAGACAATCTAGCTGTGCACATCGACGCCAAAAGATATCTCGCTATTGAAGACACGAGGGCTTACGACCGTGGATCTTGGCCAGAAGACACAGAAAGATATGGACAACGATCAAAGAATGTCTCCCAGGGCAGCATTACTGGCAGTGGACCATCCGCTATGCTACTCCTACTCAGAGCCAGCAGTCCATACTAACGGCTCGAACAATGGGATTAAGAACCATGCCGCGAAAAACATGTCGTCGCTGGCGAGCCCGCAAACAATCGAGGACAGGGTGAGATATCTGTACGAACACCAGCAAATAACCAACCTCCTCAACGAGTACGCCTATGTCCTTGATGCGTGCATGGTCGACCATGACGCCGCGCACAAGTGGGCCGACCTGTTCACGGACGATTGCGACGTCACCTATCCGTTTGGCAGCCACAAGGGTAAGGATGGACTAGCCCAGTGGGCGATGAACGCGGAGACGAGGTTCCATCGGATGCTGGTGAGTCGAGTGCGCCACGTCTTTCTTCATTTTGTTACACATGTTCGAGTCGAGCACGCGGTTTCGCACCTGTGTCAACTCCCTCGACCAGATCTAACAGGGCCGCTCTCATGCCTAGCACTCGTCCTCTAACCTCACCATCTCCTTCACATCCGACAACACGGCGCACGCCCGCTCCGCGCTTCACGCCGTCTGCGGCACCGACAGTGACGACATCGGCAAGGTCTTCCAGGAAGGCGGGTACTATTACTGGAGTTTCCGGAGGGCTGAGCATGGCCAAGAACACGGCCAGGAGCAGGAAGAGCAGGGACTCGCCGAGTGGAAGATCTCGTACCTGTTCCTGGACGTCAACTGGACGAGTGGCGACTCGTTGGGGTTGAATGAGCCTGGCGCGGCGGATTGAGAGGGCCCCAGGGGATGTCGGTCTCCTCAATCACAATGGGCACAGAGTACTCGACAACAGTACATGTACATACATATGAGTACGTGATCCACTCGATCTACATCACCTACTGGAGATGGAGATAATGAACATGAATGAATACGCGTCGACCTGGATCTGGACCTGGTCCTGGACCTGGTCAGGTAAAGACGTTGATATCCATGATTGTGAACCAACCAACCACACGAGACTTTCACTTTGCATTTTCGGATCCAGTTTTATGTTAGGTTATGACATGATATAAAAATGGATTGAGATCCGTCTCTCTCTCGTCCTGCCTTCACTCTAGAAGCAGCGGCGACGCAGACTAAGAACTCGTCAACTGAATTATATATATCGAGGCCGTCTCACACTTGTCTCCCTTCCTTGCTTCCTTGCTTCTCGCCCGAGCTTCAGCTCCACGAGCTTCAGTCCTCCGTCGTCCATTTCGTCTTCTCTCGTCTCCTCTCGTCTTCTTCTTCTTCTGCTTGGACTTTTGTTTATCGAATAAATTATCTTGTTCGGGACGCCTTCTCAATTCCTTGTCTCCAGATATGCAATAGCTATTCTCACAATTCGATTTCCAGTTCGCCGTCGAAGCTGGTGTGATATGGGGTATCATTCGCATGCTCTTTCTCACAAAGCATAAAATTTTCCTTGCTTTTTGACAGCGAGCATGAACAAAATGCAGGGGTAATAAAAAAAAAAAAGGGACAACATGCAGTACACAAACGATCGTCAATGTCATGAGATGACTAGTAAAAAGGGACAAAATAAATGCGAGACCGCAAAACCGAGTGTCGATCAGCAATCTTGAGTTTCTTGCAGCTCAATATTCATCACCAACGCTCGTGAGTTCCAGCGTTGCCAAAGGCGCTTCCTCTGTCACTTGCCGGACTATTTTGGGCCGCAAAGAATGTCAGGGAGCCTCCACCAGCACTTCCCCTGCCACCATTAACGTCGGTGCCAAAGTCGAAGCGTTCAAATTCATTGAGACTACTGACATCCGATTTGGCCTCGATATCCTCATAGTCGTCAGCATCCGACACTATGCTGGCTCGAGAACCTTCGTAATGAACCGATGCTCTCTGAGGATGATGTATCGCTAGATTGTTCACACTCCCACCAAAGAAGCGATCTTGTTGCTCCTTTGGACTTTCTCGAGGTATCAATTGTGAACGAGTAGCCGGGGGAGGCAACTTGGGTGATGGAGTGAGGTCTCCAGGAGTACGACCCAGGCGAGACGAGTTGGCCAATCGCGCGATACGGAGATTTTCCTCTGTCAAGCCATGGCCAGGAGGTGAAGAGGGTGACTTGAGTCCTTTTACTCCAAGATTGGCAGTCTTGATGGGTGGCGGTGGTCGTTTGTTGGTGGGTGTTTTCGCAATCACGGGCGTATCTTTCACAATAGGCGAGTATTGTGATATGGACGAGGCACCGTTGAAAGCGCCCGGCGGCGGAGCCTCAAGCCGCGATGGTGCCTGTGCTCGATTGCTCAAGTTCATGGTGGGAGAAGGATCACGCAAGCGGAAAGCTGACGGTGGTCCTGGTCGTGGAGATTCGGCAGGGCTTAGCCGTTGAGGTACTGGACTGGGTCCGCTTCGCAAGACTGGGCTCGGGCCTGTCCTAGGGATTGGACTAGGGCCTGACCGTGAGGTTGGTGGTTGACCTCGCTGGCCCGGCGTGCTGTTACTCCTGCTCCTGTTCGATGCTTGATCCCGGCTTGAAGGTGGCTGGGCTCCTCGTCCAGATGTCGATGGCCGCCCTGATGTGACCGGACTCCGCATATTTCTATAGGGAGAGTTTGCTGTCAGAGATCTCGGTTGATCAAAAAGTCTATCCTTTCCAGCAGAGTTCGATTCTTGCGGGGTCAGCGGCCGAGCGACACCAATCTGCGCTGACGGCCACTCAGACATAGGAGTCGGTGGCGAGGTTGAAGACGGGAGTTCTTTCTGGGCGACCGCCGGAGACTTTTTCTCGAGTGCCTTGGGAATAGATGTGGTTGACCTGCTGCTTGAACGGCTGCTCAACTTCTCGCCCTTGCCCGTCATCACAAACTCTGGTTCAATATGTAGGTCCCTCCGATGCCTCCGTCTCATGAAAAACCAAAATATACCCAACGACGCCAACAATACCACGACTATCGGGACAACAATTGCCGGGATCAGAGTGCCGAGATTGGAACTAGACTTTTGGGCAGCAGCACTGCTCGTGGCAGCGGCAGACGTTGTCGAGGAGGACCGCGAAACTGTCGAGGAGGCTGCAGCCGCAGCCGCTGAAGTGAGAGAGGCATACTCGGCTGTGTTGGTGATAGTCCTGGTTCGTTCGGTGGTAAAGGTGGTTTCGATGCCTTGGCCAGTAAGGCTCTGTTGTAGGGTCTGTGTCTCGGTGATGGTGGTGAGTCCAGATACTGCCTCAGCCGTCACAATGGGAGCTGTGACGGCCGGATTTGGAGTGACAGAACTCGGATCAAGACCTATTGACGGCGGAAGACCCGACGTGGGATTCGGTATGATAGAAGGCAGGGTGCTGAGCGCATCTGAGTTCTGAGGCTCTCGTCTGTGAAGGACTTGCCCGTGTCGGAACATCCTGCCTTGTATTGAATGGTAGGCAGGATGGACTGAGGGTCGTCTGCAGTCACGTCGCGAAAGAAGACGGCGAGAAACGAAGGTAAGATCGATGAGGTGCAGCTGGTACGGTACAAAGGGTGGTCGTCGCAAGCTCCTTTTCCGTAACGGCACTATCCCAGGATAGCATGGGGCCAGTACCTGGTAAATTGAGAGATCATCGGGCGAAGAAGGTTAGCGTGAGGCCATCGACGGAGGGGAAATTGGATGTGCGCTCTAGAGGGAGGCTCATGCCATATGAACAGAAGGAACAGTCAGTTGCTCCAAGAACACTTTGGCAAGATGGATAACGGGAATGTGGGAGAAGGAAAGTTCTCAACGGCCAGCGCAGGGTACGGGACTGAAACGTGGACAAAGACATGCGAGAGAGTTTGAATCAGAACGGTGGATAGAGGAAAGGCGCCTCTCACGGAAAAGGCTGGAGGCAGCGGTGGCAGTGGTGGGAGCTGTGGGCACGTTGAGGGTGGCACAGAGGAAGGAGGTGTTTCGGGATGCCCAAAAGGGAAAGGAGACGAAACAAGATCAAACACCAGGCTGGGATCCAAATGGGGCCCCGAGTGACATTCCGAGCCTGTGGCTCCAGAACGACCAGTAACACTCTAGATACTGGAGCACAATCAATCAATCCACATTTCCGGTTTGCCGATCGCGAAAAAGGGTCGAAGCCTTATTCAAAGGGTGCAGCCCAGTGGAAAGTGTTCGCTTGACAACCTTTGATGTGATGACTCGCGTCATGTCGTCATTGGACGTGGATGGAAACATTCTGATACTCTGCTCATACAGTTGACGCTTCGTGCATAAACAAAGAATTTATTTTAAAGGCGAGAGTGAGAGATCGACAGAGAATTAGCCAGATAGATGAGGTTGCCATGAAATTTTGAAAAGGGGGAAACTTTATAATAGGGTGTATCACGTGACATGGAGACCGGTGGAATCCGGAGAACAAATTTTCCGACCCACGAGGCTGCAGCCTCGCCCACCAGTTTGGAGAAGTGCGTGATAAGGTGAGGGCATATCACAGCCGAGTTATCCATCATTCGCGCGGGGAGGTCTTTGCTGGGGTGTGTCTTCTTAGAGTGCTCAGTGACCCCTAAGAGGATACTCTCTGGTATCAAATCAACGGAGTAAACTCATTATTCTTGGTTCTGTGTTGGACATGAAGCGGTTAAGAAGACCGGCAGCGTTTCCGGGGGGTTCAACTGTGAAAGTTACTTGTGCGCGCAAAGGCAGGTGATGGTCGGTCGGTCACACTGGGACCCTGAAGGGCACGGCAGTCACAGAATGGGTGGCCTGGACGAAAAGAGGGGACAGGCACCCGCTGGGACCTGCCCGTTAGGGTCCAACCACCCAACCCAACACCCCGAATCCCGTAGCTCTGAGAGGGGCACCTCCCCCCTAAGCTCAGCGATTCGATGCTTAGCAGGTTCAATCACCTCGGCTCCAACCAATCGTCTGGGTGTGCTGCATTCCCAGTCACCGCTGCTTGTTCTTCACACCCCGCCTATTGGTGCACCCATGATATGGCTCAGCGATGCTCATTCGCCATCTCGACCTGTAAGCGCCTGCATCTGGTGCTGCCATGTAAGCACCTCCCACCTTTCCATGGCCGCCTTTTATGAGGCCGGCGCATTCTCTGCGTCCTCTTCTCTCCCTCATGCCATGCCTATGAGCCGAGAGTCTTGTGTCCTCTCGCAGGGTGCAGAAAGACTCGACATCCTCCTACGGCGAGCCCCAGGTTGAACATGCGACATTCTCAATAGACAAATCCCATTTATCGACAGAGCAACGCACGATCACTTGCGATTTCGCAGACAAGCAAGACGAGAACGTATTCTCTCGATACCAGCAGCATGAAATTCTTCCTTTCGCGGCGGTGGAAGCCGAACAAATGGCCGTTCTATGCCCTAATACTCATTGAAATCCCATTGACCATCGCTCTCCTGGCATTATTCGGCATTGCCTCTCCAGACACTTACCGAACAAGGCTCTGGCAAGACGGTGCAGACAATGGCTTCAATTCGAGCCCATTGACTGGGCTATATGCAGCAGCCAACTATCGATCCTATTCCACGCCCAAGGTCTGGTCGCAATTGTGAGCGTCTTCCGTCGCAGATTGAAAACTCAGGGCTGACCTCTTGTACCAGCATAACAGATTATAATGTTGCGATCACGGTCCTTTCCATGTTCATCATGCTCGTCAAGTCGATCATGTATATGCTTCATGTGTTCCCACCGGTTCTATCCGTCCTTATTCACACCGGCCTTCTCGTCTTATACGCCGTATCGGTAAACTACCAAGCGAGCAGTGATACCACTGACCCGGACCACCCTCAACACGGTGCACCCTGGTACATCACCAAATCCTGTAACGTGGCCCATAATAAGAACAATGTCGGGTACTGTACACAGGCGAAAGCTGCCTTTGCATGCTCTTGCGCAATGCTAGGCATTTTCGTCACCTATTTCGGATTTGCCGTTTATTCGTGTTTTCCCAGCAAGCAACAGCGCGAGGAATATTCCGAGAATGCCCGGCTCAAGGCTGAACGATGGGCGAAATTTGAAACCTACCAGGACGATGAGACCGGTCAGACTGTACAAACACACCCTATGCCTGAAACCCCAGGCTTCATGAATGGTCGAATGAACCCTATGACTCCGCGAACACTTGCATTCAACACTCTAGGTGGAACGAAAGACCTCCCCTTACGGAATCATTTCAGCTCGCCAAATGCGCCCCGCGCTACATCTCCATCCTTTGCGATTCGGAGCCCTGACTTACCGAGAAGCCCAATGAGCCCGGGATTCGTTCAACGAGTAGGCACGGACTCGGAGAGGGCGAACGGCAAGTCTCCTGAAATCGGCTTTAGTCCTCAGGAGCCAGCTGCACCGCAACTATATTTCCCTCCTCCACCAAAGACGTCGAAGAAGTGAGTCCTCGAGTGATCGAGGAACATACAATGAACCGCTATTGAACTATATGGAGCTTTTTGATATGGGATGTGAAACCACGGGCGTGATGACATGGAATCTGAGAGTTTATAACCTGTTGATACTTGATGTTTGATATTGCCAGAGGAACTGGCACTTCCCAATAGTCGATCACTCCTTACGATGAGGCGTCACGGGTCCAAACCCCCTGGGTTGCGGATACGGACTCGAGGGACCAGGAGGATCAAATGTATATGTAGAAACTAAAACTTGGACCATAAAAAGATCGACGTCTTGATGCCATTTGGTTTTTGTTCCTGTGTCGATGCATCACAGGGAGGGCGCAGTAGTAGTAGAGCTCGATCTTTACTTCATACTTCCAAGACAAGTTGTGGAAGTTGTAAGAGGCCAATATGTCCTCGCCAATCTGATAGACGCCAATGTATTCATCCTGGAAATATATAATGTGCGACCAGTATACGATCCATGACCCCTTCGTAACGCCGTAACGTCGAACCATTATTCATTGATCACCATTACCGCGAGGAAACACCCTGCGGATGCACCGAGTCTGTTGCAGGTCCGCCTGTCAGATTCGCCACAAACTCCTGGTAACGAAACACATCGCCTCCTTTCTTTGGGGCAGGGTCTTTCAAGCCTCGCACTCCTGCGATTCCAATCACATTTTTGCCCAAAATCCTCCTTCCTGTGAAACCTTCCATTGCTCGGTCGATGTCCTTTGCGGTCAGTTGTCGTTCACCCGGGTCTGGTACTGTGCTCATCAAAGCCGCGCGAAGCTCTGCAACATCGATTTGTCCGCTGTCATCGTCATCGAATGCAGACAGAGCATTGAGCAGCTCTTGTTGGGGTGATAACCCCACCAATATATTAGCCAGCTGATTAAGATACTGCGGCAGGGACATCTGTTGCGGCTGCCCCGGTGGGAAGAATTGAGACAGATTGCTTTCGTGCAGTCCAAGGGATTGCAGCGTCTCCGCCACAGAGGAGGCGTCGATTGTGCCGTTGGAATTTGAGTCGAGCACAGAGAAGGACTCGCGCATGTTATGCAGGAGCTGCGGTGGCAGTTTTGAGAGATTATCGTTTTGAGATAGCATGCCGTTGGACACGAGTCTTCTTGGCTCCCTACTCGCTGAAGTCTTTGAGTTGGTCGACAGGAACTGCCCCGCCTCATATTTTGAGGGCGATGATGGTTGTGATTGGCGTGCTATTGGTGAAGGTGGAGGTTCGGTTTGTGCTCTTCTGAAAGGCTGATCCGTGGTCGTTCTTGACGGTGTTGACACTGTGATCTCATCTTCCTCCTCTTCCGAGACTGTATAAGCATGCTTGAGTTTAGATGGTGAAGTCAAAGGCGAAGCAGCGCTCCTGTTTGTTGGAGGTGTTGCCGGTCTTCCTCCACTGACGAGGGTTGGGGAACCGGGCGAACCAGGGCGGCGAAAAGGTGACGAACGGGGAGAGTTGTTGAATGTGGATTTGTATGAAGACTGGACAGACAAAGGACTTAGCGAGTTGATGGGAGGCAACAAGAGGTGTCGAACATACCATTGTCACGTCAAGGACATCTACCCACTCCTGGTTGCTTCAATTGGTGAGAGAGTGAGTACGAGCCACGGGGTAGATGATGAGTCCAAATCTTTTTGGAAGAGGCCCTCTGGTGTAAGAAATCGTTTGAGGCACTGACTGAATTAGAGATAGCCGGTAAGTTGTGGAGTGAAGTTCTCTTTGTGAGAATTGTAAATGCGACAACCATCCCCAGGCATGTGATTGTGTAAACAAGCCGATGTTGGCAGGGCAGCAAACATCGAAATCATTGGGAAGGTTTTGCGAGCTTTTCGGGAGGAGGCGCCTGGGCGCTTTGAACCCGAAGCCCCCAATCAGCACATTGCAATCCAGTCTCGGGCGCTAAATTGCCGATCTCAGGGGCTTCTTGATCCCGCGATTGCAGGGGGTGAAATTTATGGGGAGCCTCCGCAGCGTAGGAGACCTGTGCCCCCTTCAGCATCCAGTCTCTTTAGCAGGACCGAAGGAGACTTTGGACTGTACATACCTCAGCCGCCACATGTCGAATCTTGGTGAACGGTGGCTTCTGGGAGACTTCTGACACATATACCTTGCTGGAGATCGCGGGTTGTGTTTATTTCTCAAGACTGAAACATCGCCCCTCAATCGCTTTCCATCTCCTGCAACATCTCCAACCCTGACGAGGGCTACTGATAACGACACAACGTTTTGTCCATACTCAACCTAGAAAACCTGACGACGACGACGAAGACAACGATTTGCACGAAGCCATGACCGAAACACTTGTTTATCGACCCCATCCTGTGAACATGAGCGGACATCATGACCGCCCACGATCCACCTCTTCTAACTCGGGCTCTCACAAGTCCACCTTCTCCCACTACAAAGTGTCCTCCCAGAGCTCCCTAGTCCCTCCGTCACCTAGAGGTTCTTACCGCTCTTCTCAAAGGGTTTCGACGGTGTACGAAGATGGGCCATTTCGTCCTTCGAAGAGATTAAGATCGCAATACCCGCTCCATTCAAGCGAGCCGCATGTGGAATACATACTCGTTGCTTCGTTCGACATCGATCGGGGCCCTATTATGGAACATCAGTTTCCCGGTGCGATCAGCCCGGACGAGAACATGTTGGCCGAGCTGATGCTCCCCGATCAAACACATGTACGCCAACAAGACTGGACCATGTTCTTCCTGCACAAAGATGCTGGCACAAGTGAGGACGAGGCTGCTGAGAGAGAAGCTCGAAGGATCCAGCGCGAGGCAAGAAGACGGGCACGAGAAGCTGGTGAGACGGATGATGTCGAAGGAGAAGAATCCGCAGACGACGCCAGTAGTGATGAAAGTGACGCAGACGACATGGACAGCCCTCCCCTAATGTATGTCCTGAACCTCGTCAATACCAAACAGGACAGCTCGGTGAAAAGAGGCGCCATTGTAAAGGCAATGGCCATTTGTACGAGGCACTCTTTTCTCCACATATACAAACCGCTCTTGTTGCTCGCCCTCGAGGACTATTTCAAGTCACCCACACCCGACACTTTGGAACTCTTATACAATGCACTGAATGCCATGGATTTGTCTCTGATGCCACGGCTGTCACTGCTGGAGCGACACATTCTGCAGGCAAGCGACGTTAAGGACATGTTTGTGGAGAAATTCGAGCAGATGATTGCCCAACGCTTAGCAGACGAGGCCCTTGCACAGACTTCAGACGCCCCGGAATCGCCAACAAAACAAGAGCAGAAGTATTTGGTTCCCAGAGACACACACGAGTTCGAGTCAAAGATTGTTTATAACAGCATCCCGATCCCAGTCAAGATCCCTACAGCTTTGTCACCTGAAACAGTGGGAGACTTTTCACTCATCAAGCTCGTTCAAATCTTTGGCAATCCCCATCTGTCTCAACCCCAGCCTTTTGCCTTACATCCCCACCTGACTACATCTGGAGCCTTCACGCATCCAATAATTGTCCTCATCAATGCCATGCTGACCCAGAAGAGAGTCATCTTCCTGGGTCACAATCGACCCTCCGGAGAGGTTGCAGAAGCTGTCCTTGCAGCATGTGCATTGGCTTCGGGTGGTGTGTTACGAGGGTTCACCCGTCATGCATTCCCATATACCGATCTGACCAAGATCGACGAACTTCTGAAAGTCCCGGGATTCATTGCGGGTGTTACGAATCCTGCCTTCTCCTACCACCCTGAATGGTGGGACCTGCTCTGCGACCTGCCGTCAGGCAGGATGAAAATCTCATCCTGCATTGAGGCTGCCCCAGTCACCGAAGGGACCACCTTTTTCCAGCAGCACGGACATGCTGCGTTGACTCACAAAGACCTCCATCACTCTGACGCTACGGGAGATGGACTCTTTATGGAAGACATCAGTCGAAGCATCACGTCTCGAGCCGGGGAGTCTATCATTCGCGCCAAATTTCGAGCCTATATCACGAAATTCACCCGCATAGCAGCAGCATTCGAAGAGACTGTATATGGAGCCAGCAATCTGACGGTGATACCCCCGACAGAGGTGGATAACGCGGATGCGACTGCTACTACACCTGCACCACCTGCCCGGCCCATGTCTCTCAAAACTTCCAGTAAGAATCTGAAGGGACACGGTTATGTCTGGCCGAGCGAGGACGCCAAAACCCGCGAACTGGCAGCTTCTGCAGCCAGAATCGAAGGATGGCGTAATACGCGATCCTACTATGCCTTCATCTCCGATCTCGCGGCACATGCGCAGGACCCGACTTCGCCAACATCTCCAGTCAGTATGACCAAGATGCTGGCTCGAGCACCGACGAAGCCGTACGTGGATCTGTATCATTCGTTGTCCAAACTACGGACCCTGCACCTGACTCCCACGGAAGCTGGAGCCATCTATCTGGCCTTGGAAGCCTATTGCACTGACTACGAAAGTATCCTGGAGCTGCTGGAGATGGCACCCATGTCAGAAGCAGGACTGTTCTACGTCGCCCTGGGACTCTGGCATGAAGATTGGAGAGTTCGAGAAGCAGTGACAAGTCTCCTGGACCGGGTCAGACAACACCCTGCAGGCCGAGTGTTCTTCAACCGGCTCGGAGGTTGGGCTACCATGGGTTTCAACCGACGTCTGCAGGAGAAGGAGAATAGACTACGCTCCCAGCAACATGAAGCCGAGCTGGGTCCCCTGGCTTTCGACGCTGACCAGAGACGAAGTTGACGTGGAGCATTTTTGACTGTGATGGAGCAAGTTGCCCAGATACCTTGCTTTGCCATGACATTATTTATTGATTTGTAGCCAGCCGGTGGTAAAGGAAGGGGGGGGGAAATGACCAATTATATAGTAAGACCAATGAGATGACGAAGATGCGGATAAGCAGATGATTTCTCCCATGCTGTAGGATGAGGATTATCATCAACAGGCCAGGAATCGCCATCTTGGAAGTCGTCCTTTGTAGCGACGAATTTGGGGGCGCAGCCGGAGACTCTCAGATGCTCTGATTCCATGTTCGCCGGCCCCCTGATTCACGCCATTTCTTGCATTGAAGGTGGCTTCACTGACTATTGAATCTTGGCACCTTCAAGCGAGTCGCCGGCAAATTCGTCTCTTTCAGAGTTTGTCCTTGACTCAGTTCAAGCTCCCTGCACTCCTCCACCGACAAACTGCTGCTCAAGACACGAAACTTACCCACGAGTAACTCGCTGCAGGGATGCCATCCTTTTCTGACAGAGTTGACATGTTGACGTTTCGAGTGTGTCGATAGAATGCAGCATCCTGCAAATCCTCCCTCTCCCGATACGGTTGTGGTCCTAGCGCGACCGCGGCGTCAGCCTTTCCCGTCCCCCGTCAACCACATGGACCTTTTCTGTCAGTGTTTGACAGGGTGTGCTCGTGCTAAGAGATGGGAATGGGGTGGATGGGGCACTTGATGTCGGTTAGACCAAGTCCATGATCGACAGTCTGACTCTTCTGGACCACGAACGGGGGCCCATTGGAGGCCCAGAATCCGAACTACCTTGGCCGAAATGAACGTTTCCTCGTGGTTGACCATCTCTGGACTCCCAATGAGTTGGTGGACGGAGCGCCACGAAGCGCCTTCTAAGTCTCTGCCATCCACGCGTTCAGAGGCTTACCAGAAGGAATGTGAGGCTTTCCGCTTTCGAACGCCTCCTTAACGCCTGGTGGAGGCATTAATTCGGCCTCCCATTGTCCCAAGAATGCCCACATTCCAATGGCCGGCTTGTGCTAACGCTGACTGGTAAAGATACCGCTCACATGTTTTGGATGGGCTCAATCTCCAGAGCCAGTATTACTCGTATCCTGGTAGGTGTATGTTGACTAACCTGCTTGTTTGCGGAAGGTCTGATTATGGTTGTTCTGTTCGTTTTCTTCAGTCTTTGTGTTCTAAGACATTACTATTGTTGAATGCTGTCTCTCCGTCTTGCTCTGACAGCACTGCACCGGTATCCCATCATACCTTTCCCATCGTTGCGACTCAGACAGATCTCGAACCCGGCTCCTTGCTTATCGTCCTCACCGTGAAACGTTCTATTCCCGAAGCGGCACAACGTTTGGTTCCGCGGCAGATCAGCAGGATCAACGTCCAGGGTGCGACACGTGCGACATCGTTCCCCGGAGTCCAAATCGGGTGCGATCAACTGAATATCAATGACCAAAAGCCTCTCGACTCTGTGAGACTCGAATACCTGAGCGGTGAGAGGCATTCCAGCGTCGAGGACTCAGCACGTTCTCGAAAGTCGATGTGATCGCCTCTCAGCTTCACGACTTTCCTGCCGCAGTGCGTGCCCTGAGGAGAACTCGGAGGCGTCCGTTCTTTACCATCGAACATCATCTCTACTGACGCTCGTTACAAACACCTTCCTTTCAAAGACACAAGGAGCCATGTCATCTCATTATAGCCAACTGCGGCAGCGGGGGCGATGGTATTTCCGCAATTACGCAACCTCTACGACAACATTACTCTCGTTAATGATCGCCCTGATCATCATTGCGACACCAACCTGTGCACAAGTAATGGAATTGGACGCACAAATCTATGAATCCAATTTCTACCAAGAGCTAGCTATACGGGGGGAAATACACATGGACCGTCGAGAACCCCCTCCTCATAGGAACATTCAACTGGAAAGGAGACAAGCCGAGGATAGTGTGGTGCCGACAACATTGGCCGAACCTACCTCTGTCTTGACATCTTCATCTTCATCTTCATCCTCATCCTCATCTTCGTCTCCGGAGCCTACAACCACCTCCTCGGCCGACCGGACATCAGTCAACAGTACAGAAACCAAGACTTCTGTGTCCTCATCAAGCGTTTCGACGTTGGCCACACCCAGCGTTACAGTTGTCACTACACCGTTACCAACGCCCTTTGATACCTCTGTAGGCAGCAACTTCACCAGCTCGGCCTGTCCCGATTTTTTCGCCAGCTTCCTCAACAACTCGACGTTTCAGTCCTGCGTGCCTGTGTCCCTCCTCCTGCAGAATTCAAATTCATTCTTCCGTGCCCAACGGTCGGTCACACTCCTCACGCAGACTCTGGATGCAGCGTGTAATGCACCTTTGGCGATCTGCTCGCCTTTGCTGAGCAGTCTGGCGTCACAGTTGATCGACCACGCAAACTGCGGCGACGACTATAAGCGGCAGAACCCCCTCGTCTCGCAAGCCTATGCGGGATTCCTCGCCTACGAGCCGGTCTATCGCGCAACGTGTCTGAAGGACCAGAGTACGGGAGGTTACTGTTTCAGCGAAGCCATCACTAACGCATCCAACCCGGCCGATTTCTATCCGTACTATACGGCTGTGGGGCTGTCGATGCCAGAAACGGCGCGACCCAGTTGTAGCCAATGTCTCCAGAAGACCATGGAGATCTTTGCTGGGTATGCGATGAACGCGGTGCAGCCCCTGGCCAAGACGTACTTGCCGTGCGCGAACCAGGTGGACAAGAGCTGTGGGAGCGGGTTTGTGGACACCCAAGTCAAAGCTGGCACGGTGACGAGTTCGAACGCGGCAGTCGGGGGACGGGAACGAGAGGCGATACCGAGCTCATCGCTATTGGTTGCTACGGCGATGGTGGTGATTTCACTGGTCGGCGGCACCCTGAACTGATGTTGTCTTTAGGAGGGGATTTTCTGTATAGTTTGTTTTGGGTTAGACTGACAGGCAACCACAACCACACAGGTACAGGCCCGCCATGAAGATTATTAGTGGGCATACATTAGAACGACCCTGAAAAAAAGGGATGTGAGCACTGGGCTGTGAGCAGTGAGCGCTCGAACTGGGCCAGGAGGAAAGAATTGATTTGTGATCCACAATCCACATAGCGCAGGAGTTTGGGAGACATGATTCAGGGAGGACCGGGTGTGTTGGGAACGAGATTTTGCAACGAAAGTATGTGAAGAAAGGAAACTAGACAAGTCGACCCCTTTTGGGGCTTTTGCGAACTCGTATTCCTATAATACCCTCGTACATACGAGAATGGATGATTCTTCTCACACTTGACCTTTGACCTTGAGCTTTGTTTAGGCCAGGCGGGCAGGAGATGGATGGCTGCATGGATGGAGGAGGCACGGCCTTTTCCTCTCCTAGTAAGTACTTTCCCTCTCTACCTCGCTCCCGTCTCTACTCCATCTACGAGGTAGGGTACTCGGTACTTGAATTGTATGACGGATATATGAGAGTAAAGACGAGTGACCTTCCTCTTGTTCGTCGATGGTGCCCTCCCAGCTGGATTGGGTCAATCACCCCTGACCCAAACCCAACGGACAGACCGACAGACCGACAGACCGATGACGGTGGCTACGTACTTGCGAGGTACGAGGTACTAGTAGTGAAATAATTAGTCTCCTACCCAGTTTCAGACGCGAGGCACGAGGCGTATTTGATACTATGATCCAATACCCAATACCCAATACCCAATCTGGCAATATTTTGTACTCGTAATTACAGCTTGCTCGTCTCTGGTGACCGACCTGCCTTCTCGTGCGCCATGAAACTATCAACTGGAGCCCAGAATCAGTGACCCTTCGGAAGCAGTATTAAGTGATAGGTCCAACTTCTCGAAATGATGGGTGCTTTTTACCGCCCAGCCCTGACCATGGCGCATGGCGCCTCGAGGTCCTGGAGGGACGGGCCCTTCTGGGATTATTTACCTCACTGTCCCGGAGAGGAGGCTAAGCGACATTCATAAAGTCGACTCGAACGGCGTCCTCCTTCTCCCATCTCATCTCCTGCATTCCAGCGGCTCTACCCGACCTTCATATCTAGACTGGACTTTGAGAGTCCTATCGTTTTGCTTTCCCCCGAGTAATTCGACCCCCTGTCGCCAGTGCTCGGCCCAAACGGCCAAATATTGATCACCAAAATGTCAGGTTCCACGGCGCGCTCGCGTTGAGACCATGGTCCGTTCACGATGTGCAGGGCGGCTGTACCGTGCTATGGGTCGGAAAGGATCGTTAGTTGTTCAAGTGCAAGTTCTTCAACCCCTCGGTTTGGCAGGAAAACTTGTCTTCTCCCGTGGGGGGCTTTTTTTGGCGCGCACCTCCTGCTGGAAAATTCGCTGCCTTTGACGCGGATAACTCGGTCGCCAGTTTCGGGTTGTCGCGCAATAGTGTCCGAAATGCTCGTGTCAGCGACGAGGGTAAATCAAGGACGCGGGTGGGTCTGATAGATACGGTCGAGGAAGCATTGTCGGATTGTGAGAGAATAGCGTTGGCGTTGCTGAAGTTGAGAAACTGGGTATCGAACCGCCCCAGGTGCATGTTGAGATGAATCCCATGCCATGGCGGGCTACTTGTTCCTGGTTGGTGTTAATCACTGGTGTTTAGGAGCGAGGCCGCCCACTTACAAGAAATAGGAGGCATGTTCATCCACGCTGTGGAGGGCCGGGCGAGGGCGTTGAGCAGACCCTCCTCGCCTGCTTGAGTTCGTAGATCCTTGGCTGCGCTCAGAATAGCGTCGATGTCCAGGATGGCCGCAAAGCTTGAGCCGGATACGGAATCGGAAATGTCGTTGCTTGTGTCAGTCTCCTTACCCCGGATCTCACCTGTACGGGTTCGAGAGCCAGCCCGCTGTCTTCGATCGTATGAACACATCAAGGCCGCCTTGAACTGGAGCATCCAGGACAAGGTATTGATCTATTTCCGCTCTGGCAGAAGCAGTGCCACCACCATCATCAGAACGGACACGAATGGGCGAATGGGATTCAATGTCCCACGAACTTGCCTGTAGATTGAGACAAGAAGGGGGTCCGTCCATTCTGTTCACTCAGTTTACCGCGAGTCTGTGGGCAAAGGTATGCAGGGGTGTCACCTTGACCTGGTGGTCCAATCCGTTGTGGTCGACTTGTTTCTTGGGAGGCCGTAACCACCCATGCAGCCTGCAGCAGGCCAGCCTCCTCCGTGGCAGCCCGAAGGCCGAAGGGGCGTCCACCATGCAGTTCGGCAGGGTCTTGACCCTTTGAGGCTTTCTGGAGTAGTTGTGCGGTCAAGGGCCTGGTTCTCCCATCAATTGGCTTGGACACCGACCACGTGTTCGCGCATCTCATAGCCTTGTCTGCCTCGTGTCGATGAGATAATACGCAGCTAACTAAAATGTGCCTTTGACCTAGTTGAATCCGGTGCTGATAATTGGCAAGGTAATTATTGGCGAATTTATCCAATTAAATGAGGTCGGCTCGAGGTCGGCCTGAGTTCGCCCTCGTGCGCGGGCGAGGCTGAAACTTGCGATGCATGACCAATGGCCTGACTAGGTATGTAAAACGAGAGACCCGAGATGGATGACGCTACAGTGTCAGCCTAGATGAACAGGCAAGTTCGCACTCGCCAATGAATTCGAGACACGTCGTGAGACCAAAGATCCCTTGACGCCGACATGGATGAGTGAGGAGTCTAGAGCGGATTGCTCCCCACTTATCCCAGAGTAATTTTTCTGTATATTGACCAATTGACCAAGTGCCCAGTATCTTTGTATAACGCCCCATTAATAGGTTATCTGTCTGTTTAATGCGTGTCCAGATAGTCGCCATGCTGCCATACGACACCTCGTAATCGACGTACATCGACAAAGGTATAAGACTCGGTGCTTCCATGGCCTGGAAGAGTTTCTTCTGTCCTACACTCTTCCTCAGCGACAGACTATTTTTCTGCCATTCAGAAAGGCCATGGACAATGTAACAATGATTCAAGACCCACCGTATGTGACCCAACTTCTCTCGTTCTGGCTACATAGCTAATGGCTTACCAGACACCTGAAATCATTACAATGGGACGATTGGGATGACCTGTTTTACGGTAAAGGCGTGCTCACTGGGTACACGATCCGGGCAGGCCAGTTCGAAATCCCACGAGCTAACTACGATGGTCAGTATTTCGGAAGAACATTCAATCCTTTGATTCAAAAACTGAACTTATTGGTCGGCAGCCTTTGTGTTGAAACGAAACGCAACGCCAAAGGCCGAGTCGTACAATATGTCTAGCTCTAATGCGGTGACTCGACAAGGGATATCCACCCAGTCTATGTCTGAAAGCTCCTTGCATTATGGAGATTTGGGCGGAGACTTGTACGTCCATCAATAGAAACTGTTCTCGCCGTGACACTCATGTGTCCACTCAGGAATCCGGCACTGATGAAACCCATGAGGATGGGAGTGAGTGTGGGGGCATCAGCGGCGCGAAGCGCAAGCACCACGGGCATGCGGACGGAGCTCAAAGAAGAAACGGCGGTTGAACATAGAGTAAGTAAAGTGACATGGACCCCCTCGAGCCTTCCCGTCATAACCGACAGCGTTAGTATCCCAAGGTCAGAATCTTTCTAAACGATGAATGGATAACTCTTTCGGATGGATGCCTGGCGGATCTCAAAGCACTCAAGACGAGCAAAAGTCGGGAAGATCTGTTCCGATTCTACCAGAAATATGGTACAACTCTGAACCGATTGCCCCATGCACCTTCCGATTCTAATGTGAGGTCAGGCCATATCATCATGACGCAAGTCATCTTTGGAGGTCTTCTACGATGGACCCAAGAAGCCAACAGTGATGACGGAGGTAACCATTCGGAAAAGGCAAGCAAACTTAAGGCCTTTGTCGACGCAAGATACATGTCTGCTCAGGTTACCGGTTCATGCACGTCCTCAAATGAGTCGAGGAATGATCAGGCCGATCTAAAGTATGAGAAGACTGTCTATTTTCATCGACTAGGAGGAATCCAGTCCAGCGCTTCCGACTTTCATTCCAGAGAAGAGTGAGTATGCATGGTTCAAATGTCAATGAGAATCTTCACTAAATACCTTGGCTTAGGTTGGACGCTTGGTCGATCTCGTTGGGGCGGCGAGAGCTTTGGGTGGTCACAGAGGTAAGGTTTCCTTGCGGGAGAATAGACCGGGCTGACCACGATATCCATGACAGCGTCGTGAACCAATGCAAATAGAGAAATTTATGGGTCTAATGAAAGAGTTGAAATGGGTGCCTCAGTTATTTCAAGAGATCCATACCGCCGCGAGAGTCACACCACTATTGCCAAACTTATACAGCGAGATCTACTCCACCAACACATCGCTCGCATTCGTGCGTCAATATGATCTTCCAACTGAACCCGCCTTGCTATTCTTCCAAGACCAGAAACGGCACATAAGGTTTGGTGCACTGGCAAACTCATCACACCCTCGCACCCACCAAACCGAGGTTCTATTCGAAGAACCCATCGTCCGGGCCAAGCAAGATACACCTCTTGGGGCATTTGCCACTCCAGATAGCCTTCATTTATTCTATCTTGACGACGCTTCCAAAGTCTGCATGTCTCAGTTCGATCTTGAATCGCGGATGTGGGAGGCCGCAACGTTTCCGGGCAACCCATCCGAGCGCTCAGATGGCTCGAACTTTGGATTCTGCAAAGAGGAAAATCCGAGTGGCTACCTGATTTCATACCGAAGTCTCACGGGGCAAGCACACAATTTCAGGTATGAGTACGATAGTGGAGAGTGGACCAGCCTTCCAATTGGAACTGAGGTGTCGGAAGTCATGTCGAATGAACCAGGACCGTTTAACCAGCGCAACGACCGATACCTGGTACCAGGCTCTTTTGTGTACGCGGACATAAATCGCCGAGATAGCTCACGCTTCGAAGGTTCCGAAGCAGTTGTCAAGGCCGAGCTGTGTGAAGACAATGGAATTACCTTCCATGTCAATTGGTTGCCAGGATCGGAAAGCGATAGTGACGACGGTGGTGACCCCGGGGGGGACACTCTGACCATTCCAACCCTTTGTTTGGTGCGTCCCGGAACCGACTATTGTACCGTTATTACCAAGGAAGATCCTCATGGGTGGCCTGGCCTCGTTTTCATATCCCCTGAAGGGTCGATGCACATGATCGGACTGAATGGATATCACCCGGATTACCAACTTGAACAACGGAGAATATTCGACCCTGACTGTCTCAAAGCCTCAATGAGTACCTATTTCCGGGATCTATCGAGAGTCCTGGAGTATGATTCTGACTGAAAGTCAACTTGGCTCGAATGAAATAATTCACATGCGAGAGCATGGGAGGGTGACAACAAAATCGAGAGGGTGACGAGCGCACGTAATATCGAGGCTGATGATCTTATTGAAGACCTCGGGTCGGATGGAGTATTACCATTAGAAGCAGATGTACGAATTATAGCCTATTCTCCACAAGGGCAACACCCGTAATAAGGGTCACGAGGTTCCGAAGCTGAAGTAAAGCGAAATCTTCCATGCCTTGATTGCTCGCGACGTCGCTCACTGTTCCTCTGGAAGATTCTCCTCACTAGGTCCTCCTCCACCAACAGACCCAAGTCTCACGCCTATGGCCGAGGCAAACTTGAAGATGGGCCCACTCAAAGAAGAGAACCTAGTCACATAGAGCCAGCTCGGAAGAGCTCTGCATCTCGTCGCCTCCTCGGCGACAGGTCTACCTTCACGACGCCTTGGTTTCCACTGGTGGCGTGGGTTTCAATCTTCTGCGCCACCTTTTCGAAATTCTTGGTTCTCAAGTCGCTCTCAATTGCACCCCAAAGCCCCGGTGCTCCCGTGTTATATGCAACAGACAGCAGCGCGTCGATCTGCCTCTGATCCAGGCTGTTCCAGACGTCGATGCCGAGCTTCTTCGCCATGTAGTTAGCGTTCCAGCTGTCCACATAGTCAAATAACTCATCTGCTTGTGCCTTGGTGATAGGAACTCGAATGTCTTTGGCCTTTTCCGGCCATGCATTAACATGAAATCCATAGCCAATGCTCTGGCCGGTCCTTCCATCACTGTAAGGAGCGGCCTTGAATTGTTCCGCTGCTTTGGTGCGATCGACCTGTTCTTTTGACATGGTTGCGGCTCTGCCGGGCGAGGCAGGTGGAGGGGCCATGGCTGAGTCCTTGAACTTGAATTTCCCACAGGGGGGTTTGGGTTGGAGAAGCTGAGGCCGCAATGGTGAGGCTGAAGTGCTGGTGTAGTCGCATCGGCCTGTGCAGCTGCGAGAGGAACAGAGGGATATACGTACGCACGAGCGCTCTGGACCGTTGTTGCCAAGGCGGGATGCCCGCCCCTCCCGGAAGCTTAGGACCCCGGCACCTCTGCCATCTACCATGTCGACCGTGCAGCCGTGTCAACCGGTGTTCAATAATCCACAGAATAACGGCAGACTACCATTCGTGTTTCCTAGTGAGGCTCTATTCACATGATCGTTGGAACTTTTGTCTACGAATGATGATCCTTTTCCTCGAATCGGTAACCTTGTTGCCAGCTAGTCAACCTCGCGCTCGAAAATCTGGCGAGATCCTACCAATCGAAAATGTGCGGTTACAGTCTATCATGGCGCAAATTGATGAAATGACTGTACGAGCATCTCTAACTGAGTCTGAGAGGCCCCGCGCGCAAGATATCTGCGCTAGTCACGCGACATGAAGGGTTGGCGTTGGTGTTGGCAGAGTGATATAGTGGCAGTTTTGTCAACATCCTACCAATTGGTGGCTGGTTGCTGGCAATTTTGTAAGATTTTAGCCAATGGAACACGATCGCATAGATGCATGGCTGACTCAACCCAAAGAGCACATCGTGCGCCCGATCAGGCTGAAACATGGCGGATATTTCAACCAGGACCACGTTCCATCCACCTCCGCTGAGGTTTGCTCTTTCCTCCTGCACCAACTGTTTCTTGTTTGATTTTACTGTACCAACAATGTCCACATCCACTTCAGTTGGGTTCGAACTCATCAAAGACATCGTTGATGATCTCTACGTTGGGAGAAAAGTCCATCTAGACTCTGTGACCGCCATTCTGGCGGAGGTTTATGGAGTTGAAATTACGTGAGTGTTATCGCCCATCAAAGCGTCACTACACCGTTTGCTGACTTTGAATAGCAAGAATCAGCTGGACAAGAAGATAACGAAATGGGGCTTCCGCAATCAGAGAGTGAAAACATCCAGCAAATCCAAGCCGTTGTTTCACGAACCTCCCATGCGAGTAGTCTTGCCAAAGGATGTGGGACCACCAGATGTACACAAAAGACGAGAATACATTCTCTTCTACGTACAAAACGCCATTGATGCTGAATTCCGGAGATCCCGAAGAGGGGAAAAGCAAAAATGCGAATTCGATCCTATCTGGCTAACTCCCGGTAGGGGCTACAAGACAAGCTGGACAAAACTGTACAAAGCCTCTGAAAAACTACCCGAGTTCGCCGAAACTGGCCAAGTGAACCAGTTTGAAGCGTGCGTGGACGAGATCTTCGCAGGCATCCAGCCTGCAATTCTGGGTAAAAACGAGCTTAACATTATGGTGTGCTTCTGGAGAGTCGCAAACGATTTCCTCAATGCTGCTGTCAAACGCCTGAACAAGGATTTGCTCGAGACGTTCTTGGACACGCTGTGCGATAAAAGACGAGAGTTATTGCCAGAAATAAAATCGGATCCGTTGGCGCTGCTATGCACCTCCTTTCTCGAATCTCCACGAGAGGAACGCTTTGAACTACTCCGCCTGGGTTATGAAAGGTCGATCACCCACCTGCAATACCATTACATTGACCACAACCTCACAGTCCCACAGATGACCACGAACTACTTGATGTACTGGGACAGGAATTCCACGCGATTCCCGAACCTCATCGCGGATTTTGAAGACTTGATTCTTTACACTACCGGGCGATACGGCTCCGATGACTGGCGTACCATCACCTGCCTACATCAATTCCTTTACTACACGTTCAGCATCAGAGGGGACACCCAGAGAAGCGCCCTGATCGCCGAGACATTGTATTCCAGAACCCAGCGGATCATTTCAACCTCGAAGAAGATAACCTGGAACACAGTGACTAATGCCTTCACACTGGCCTCAGAGGCACTGATGTCGTGGCACAGTCATCGGTTCGAGGCAGGAGACGTGCTGAGATATTTCGAGCGCCTTTGTGACACACTGGACAAGGGGGACGAGGAATGTCAACGACAAGCTACATGCCTGATGCGTAAGATCCGAGAATGTGGTGAGTTTGAGGAGACGACAGAAGAAATCTTTCTCGCCATGACCATGAGGGAAGTAGTCTAGGCTGAGCACCCCGTTTTTTTTGGGGGTTCTTTTTTTCAATTTCAAGAAACAGCCCACTCATAGATCTATATCTCATCTGTTTACTATGCTATTTCATCTCTTTCTCCCATTCCTCTACTTCACTCCGCCTTCTGATACGATTGGATGACCAAGGACCGTGAATTTTTACTCTGGATTCATCTTCTGCAGCCAGGGAAACTCCAAGCGGCTCTTCTCTTTGGCCGCCTCACGTCCCTCTCGGGGCAACCTTTAGACCTAATTATCGCGCAGGTGGGCTCCGAGAAGAGTTTCCTTCTCTTGTCCCACGATATCCACCAACCAAGTCCAAGTGATTTTAGCGTGCACTTCAGCGACTTGATCACTTGTACAGTATTATACTGACCCAAGTATGTCCCGCTCTACTCCACTCGAAGGAAAAGGACGTGTGCCCCGTACCTCGTACCTCGTGCCGAGCGAGCGAGTACCAGCATGGTAGGTACGAGGTCTCCTATTAATTGCGAGTCCTACCACTCTACCGAGTACTCGGTGCTTGGAGTACTTTCTTTCCTGCAGGTACTGTACGGAGTACGTCGTACGGAGAACTCGTGCTCGGTATTCGAACAGGACCGAGGACCGAATGTGCTTCTCAGTGGTCAATGCTCAGTGGTCAATGCTATGCACATGTCAAAGGGCGCTACCGTGCTGCCCACATCATATCGACATCTCGGAATTCTTTCACCATGTACCGCACTGCATCACACTGCACCTCTTCCTCTCTTTACGCCTACTCGGTACACATCTCGCTCCCTGTAAAAGGGTTCCGAGGATATTATTATAGCTCGTCTACGAGCTGCCTGGTACTTCTAACCTCCCAACAGCAAACAATGACATGAGCGCTTGCAGGGTATGGTGTGTCGCTTGTCGAACAGGAAACGGCGCAGGGAACAAAACTTCTCTTTCTCATGCGATCCAGAACCAGATCCTCTCAACAATGTTTCTCGGCTTACGCTCCGGCCACACTATGGCGTCCAACGCAGCTTTACCCGTGTACAGATCGGCTTCGGCCGCATTGCGGAAGTGAGTGCGCTTGAAGATCCTCCAGAAAAGGTAGAGCCCGAAATAGATGGGCACTCCGATGTAATCGGTGATGAAGGCCTGGTAGTCCCACGTTCCTGCAATCGAATCGAACCCATTGAAAAAGATGATCAGCCCAAAGAAGATGGCCGAGATGTAGCCGAGGTAAGGTTGCCACGGAGACTTGAACGGCAACTGGTTGCGGTCGATGCCCTGCGCGTGGCACGCGTGGTAAAAGCGAATGTACGCGATGCAGATGCTGACCCAGGTGAAGAGCGTGGAGATTGTGGTCAAGTTCTGGAACCAGGTGAAGACGGTATTCGACCCGGAAGAGCAAGACATGTACGTCAGGAGAGAGATGGACCAGGTGATCAGCACACACCACACAGGGACACCAGTCTTGGTACACTTGAGCAGGAATCGGGGCGCCTGGCGGATTTGCGCAATCCCATACAGGTATCGGGACCCCGTGTACAAGAAAGCATTGGCCGACGAGGAGGCGGAGGTCAAGATGACAGCGTTGATGATGGATGGAAGAGCATCGATTCCGGCCCGATTGATGGCAATGACCCATGGAGATTGAGCAGCACCGGGCGCGCCATTTTCACGAGCGTTCAAGAGATTGGGATCATTGTACGGGACCAATACGCCGATCGCCAATGAGCCCAAGACGTAGAAGAACAAGATACGCCAGAATACTCGGCGGACAGCCTTGGGGATATTTCGGCGCGGATCCTCAGCCTCACCAGCAGCAACGGCCACCATTTCGACACCACCATATGAGAAGGCGGCGTTGACGAGAGTGGACCAAAGACCAAGGAAACGACCAGTGCTACCGGAGGCGATGTACGCTTTCATCGCCCCAGGGTTATTCCAGTATTGGAACCCGAGACGTTGCTGCCCTGGAACTCCACCAACATCAATGATGAGGGCGAGGATGAGCAGGCCAATGATGGTGACGATCTTGATGGAAGCGAAAATGAACTCGGCTTCACCGTAAATGGCGACGGCGAAAATATTGAGGGCAAGGACCAGAACTATGACGATGGAGATCCAGGCTGCCACGTTGACATCTCGAGCGCCAGGCCAGAACTGGATGACGCTCGATGCTGCTGAGATTTCGGCGCAAAGTGTGATGGCGCAAGAGTACCAATTGTTCCAGCCAACAGCAAACCCCATGGCATCATCGACATAACGAGCGCAGAATTGTGGAATGGCACCAGGAAGCGGAAGCCATGTGGCCATCTCACCCAGAGACATCATCATGGCGAAGACAGCCAGACCAGTGAAGGTATAGCCCAGGAGGACCGACAGCGGACCGGCTTGGAGGAAAGCACGGCCAATTCCCAAGAACAGACCAGTGCCGATAGTGCCACCAAGAGCAATGAACTGGATGTGACGAGATTTCAGTCCGCGTGAGACATAGCCATATTCCTCGGCGGTGGCGATGTCGCCAAAGACATCGGTGGCTTCGTTGACCTTGGAACCCCGTCGGGCCTATGAAAGAACAAGATGTCAGCGACCTTGGTCCGGCTTTTGCTTTGCCGCCTTCACGGTACAAACTCACCTCAATCTTGTTGACCTCATTGTAGTCAATTGGAAGGTTATCTGGAGAGTCGGAACCAGAGGTGAGATGGAAGTCGGCCGTTTTCTCCATGTTGGGTCTGGTTGAAGCTATTGGAGATGTCGAGTGCTGACTAGTTTACAGGTTAACAGAGCTCGACAATCCTTTTGGATCGAGCAGGGGACGAGCAACTGCGCCAGAGACCTCGAGATGGGAGGAACAACGAGGCCCGTAGGGCCATGGCAAGTTGGAGAGGTATTTGTAGGACAACAAGTCCGCGTGGACCAGGCTTGGACGGTGATGTCTGGGGCAGTGGCAGATTACCCTGGCTGCATTGAGCCCATCGACAGCCCTGACATGATCGCCCGCGCCGAATGACAACGAGATACGAACTGTCGAGTCTAGGTGCCAGACTGCGACGTTACGACCCACCCAGGCAAGGCGAACTGAAATGGGGGCGGCGAGGACCGTGGCCTGTGCTTGCACACAAGGACAATGGTGCAATAGTGGTCAGCTATGAGGATGAGTACGGGGTACAGTAGCTCGAGGCTGTTTGAATCTCGACCGCAGGTGAATGGAAGAGGAAGGCGACAGAGTCGGACAGGGGACCCTGCTGGGAGAGGGCTCCGGTCAGGGCAAACGGAGGATTGTGGAGGCGTAGGTACTCGTAGGGTGTGATCTCCGTCGGGATGGGGTACGAACAAGGCCTGGAGAGGCCAGTGAAGACGAGACGAGCGAGAGGCAACCAGAACGGACCAGGAGCACGAGTGAGTGGACAGCAAATTGTGAACCAATTGAGCAGGTGTCAACGGATGTGGCGAGTGGTAGCGCAGCCAACGACCCAGACAACTCGCAGTCCCCGACTCCACCTGCAGCACAGCTCTCCTATTCCTGGCCCTCCTCTTTACGGTTCAAATTGAGCCTTGTAGACAACAACATCTCACACGACATCATTACTCGTAGCTGATAGTGTCACCACCGGACGCCACTGTGATATGGCTGGGGATGATCGCTCCAACAAGGCGTAGGTAGACATGCGGCAAGGCAGTTTTTTTCTGGGGGGGGGAGAGAGGGGGGAAGAGGCCCAAGCTGTTGGACTGTTGGACAATGCAAAGGCACTGTGAATGTGACGGTGCGGTGAAGGGAAAAGACACTTTGAGGCGTAGAGCCTATGATCCTCACTCACTCTCCGCTTGGTGTAGCGTAATGTGGGGTAGAGTAGCGTTCCCTCTTACTCGGACAGGGGCATGCAGCTGGCAGGTGGCTGAGAACCCCAAGCACCAACGAGCAGCCTGGAACGATCAATCAAGGGGAAGCCTCGGGGGCATCACCAAGAAGAAGCAAGCATGGCAAGCATGACAAGCAATAGGCAAGCAAAAGGCCCAAGAGCCCTCCTCCCGGTCTCAGGCCCTGCCCTTCTCGGCGCCTAGCTATCTGAGATCGACTGCTGCAATCACCTCTGAACCAACCACAGCAGAAACCTGGAACAAACCACCAAGTTCTCATTGACGGGCACGAGTTCCCTCGTACGGAGTAGAGTACTCGTTTCAGAGCAAACACACCAAGGCGGCCTGCAGGATTCCCTCGAGCTGGCCAGCATTGCCATCTGACTGGCCCTGATGTCACCCATGCTAATTTCAATTACACAATCTTTCGCCTTGTCCAACACCGTCGCGACGAAGGCGATTCACCACTTTTCGGACGCTCCAAGCGATCCTCGCCCAGCAGGGGGACAGGGGGCGGCTCTTGTCCCCCAATCCGGTCCCCGCGTCCGACGTCTCGACCTCGAATCGGTAGTTCACTTGGAAGGGCTTCTGGAAGGACACGCCACAAGACACCGACGAGGGGAGTTGCATTGGTTTCATCGACGAGTAGTCACAGGTCACGGGTGCAAGAGGTTCTACGAGGTGGTGCAGATGCGACGGTGTATCTCTTACCCTTTAGTATTTCCCAATCGAGGTCTTCTCGTCGTTAACTGCATTCTCTACATGTACGAATACTGACCTACCACAGAGAGCAGCTGGCAAGACAGTGCCGACCAACCATCCTCTTCCCGGCCCGCAGCGCCAAACACTATTACTCGTACATCCTCACCTACTGCCATGCATGCTTCTAGAAGCCTGGTTACTCGTATTCGAAAACTCTGGCCCCTACCTGGACGTCTCCGGCAGCCTGCGCACTGGGTCGCCACAACCGGTGCGGGCACTTTAACGTTACTGTCCCGATCAGATCCAACGCCGACTTGAGTCCTACATGCTCTCGGCCCAGTTCTTATTTTCTGGTCCCAACCTCGGGTCTCGTAGCTGCGAATCATTCAAGCAGCCAACCTATCACATAATCGAGGAGCCACCTCTGCGGTTGTCGAGTGGGAGAAATACAAGGCGGCAAATAGCTGTACCAATCAGACATCTCATCCGTACTCAGACAGTTAGTGGCTTTTATACACTCATAATAGCTTAGGTAGTAGCCACTGAATTCCCAGTCCACCAGTCCAGATATTATACAGAAGCCGTTCTCGTCCTGTTAGACTATTAGCTGCAAATTTACCTCAGGGTTGCTTTCATATGCTTTGTATAGCCTTTTGAGAAGTCGGGGGTTGAGTTCCCTGGTTCCGCAGCTTTAGACTTGGCTGGTGTCTTTGACTTGAGAAGGCCGCAGTTGAGCACATCGTGATCTTCGATATCTCCCATAGCGTCGCAGTTCAACTGTGAAGGAGTATCACTCTAGCAAGTCCAAGAAGCCTAGAAAACCATGAATTGATCATAAATGTGGGTTGAGTCTCTGTAGATAAATAAGGTCGGCCCAAAGAGAGAGTGATGTACCTACCTAGCTCCATCCAGGCGTTGCCAGCTTTGTAATCGGGGACTGTCCAACATTTCTCAATCACTTGCCTCAATGGTGAGGACACCAGAGATAGGTCAGGAAACTGCTTGTTCCGTAGACATTGTCTGATCTCCTGATCGCTTTTCCCCTCAAAGAGCGGTTCTCCGCGGTCAAGTTCGTAAAGCACGGTGCCTAGTGCAAAAACGTCATCTCTTTCTGAGGGATAGTCCGAGTCAAATAATGGGTTGAGATATCGTACGCCGGCGCTCACGTTAGGAGGTAACTCATCTAGACCGGAGCCTGCGAAGTCGCACAAAATGAGTCTACCGTCGTCATGAAGGAGGAAGTTATGAAGACCAATATCCCCATGCACAACGCCTTTAGAATGAATATATGCCACAGCTGATACGGCTTGAGAGGGCCAACTAAGATCTGTCAGTGTTTCGAGCATGAGAGGGAGTGACATTGACGAACCGACTTCGTCCAGGAACAATCTTGTCCAAGCAATCTATCAGGCTACCATGACGATGGTATTCGAATAAAAGGGCATTGCGTAATAGCGTGCATGCTGGAGGGCTTTGACCCAGATAGCGGAGAATATTTGGATGCCCCTGAAGACGCTCATATATCCTTTTCTCGACCTTTTGATCCTCGAGATCCTGTGGGGCCGGAATTTTGGCAACAATATTCGTCCCCGCGATATGCACGACCTCGGAAGAGAGTCCAACGCCGACGCCTCGTAATTTTTCCCTTGTGAGAGTGGAGGGATCGAAGGACAGATCCTTCATTGTGCAGGGTAGAGTAAGGGCAGACTTTGAGTTGATCGAAGTGTTGATAAGTTGTGCTCGCTAAACTTACCACATCTAGCTAGTAACTAATCACGTGATATACCTCTCGGTGAGCGGCGACGGAGGGCGATAGGTTTTCCGTAAACAACATATCACTGAAGAAAGGAACAATAGATCTATCCTTTTTTACCCTCATTTCCCATGCCTCATTATTTCAAATGATTGGTCTATTTTTTACTTCTTCAAGTCCCGGATCAGGCCGCCATAATGCTCCTTTTGTTCCTCGGCCAGCTTGCCTCTCGTGTCGCTGATAATGGTCAACACCAGACTGTAGTTGTTGTACAAGAACTTGGCCCTTTTACTCGCGTCGCCGGCCCCTTTGGCGAGTTTGCCCATCAAAGATTCATACTCGGACCTGAGCCGCGCAAGGCTGTTCGAGACGGGCTCGTCATCGCCGGCCTCTGCGCTGAGTGATAGGATTCCCTGCAAGAACTGGCCGAAGCGCTGTGTAATGGCGTGGGGTGCGACCGAGGCTCTCGATGCATCGGATGAGCCTCCACCAACGAGGGAGAATGCAGCTGCAGCGCCTCGACTGCTGGTCGATGGGGCCGGGACTTTTCTCAGGGATTCGCAATGCGCGTCCATGGCCATTTGGAAGCGCGGCCACAGGAGAATGTTTGTGTAGTTGATGTAAGAGTCTGCCACTGGCACCTTGCGCCGCTGCAGCTCAAATGCGAAATGCTGGTTGAGACGGACGCAGAGCAAGACGCCCAAGCAATCGTTCGTGTTCTCAACAAGAGACTTGGTCAAATTATGACCCAATGTGAACGTCGGCTCGAAAATCTCAACCACCCGACGCGAGATCTGATGATACGTGCTGGTAGAGAACAGCTCAGTCATCACCGAGTACTCGGCGGAGACGTTGTCGATGAGTGCCTGGTTGAAATTCCGGAAGGGCACTTCCAAGTAGTGAGCCGACTTGCTCTCCTCCGCCAGGTAAGCAGGCAAGGCTGTGTCGTTCTTGGATTTGACAAGGTCTTCTCTTCTTCCCAGGCTGAAGGCATCATGCGGCGGAGGAGCAGCTTTGGATGCCCCCAGGACATTTCGCCTTGCCGGGGCCGGTTCTGAGCCGAGAAGGTCATATTGATCAAAGGCGTGGATCTGAAGAGCATCAAGAGCTTGCTGGTATCGAGAAAAGTGACTGCTATAGTACCACCGCATCGTGTTGACATATGCTTGCCCAATTTCCTCGGCTAAAACAGGGTGGTTTCGAGCCAGAAAAGCGTAAAGGTCTTTATATCTCAAGAAAGTCTGCTGCTGGATTACTTGAGCGTTGATGTTGGGAGAGCGAAGGGCCTTGATCTGAGCCACAATGTAGTCACGTACTCGCTCGATAGCTTTAGCCTTGAGGTCTTCGAGCAGGGGCTTCAGGTCTTGCAACGCCTTGACCTGCTCCGCCTTGTCCTCTTTGGCTTCTATTATGAATGACCTTGCCTCCACTTCCTTCAAAGCCTTGACAAAGGTCTCGTCCATTGGACCCTCTGCAATGGACTTTACTGTGAACGGAGAAAGGCTGATTTCTTCCACCGCCGGCCCCAGGCGCTTCTCAACATTGCGACGATTGTCAAGTTTGGCGTTGAGCTGAACAGAGCGAGCCTGTAGATTCTCAATTTCCGCAGAGACCTGACCAAGCTCTGCCTTAAAATTGGTCAGGTAAGATTCAACGTTGGTAAGTATTTGATCGCATTCCGTAATCGATTTGTGAAATTCTTCAAATTTTAGCCTGTTCTCTTTCGCTGAGATCTCCACGGTCGAGCCGTCGCGAGCAGGGCGCAGTGGTGTCTCTTGGGCAACAAACTCTTCAAGGCTGAGGCCCCCAAAGTCAATGTCTTTGCTCGTCTCCCTGTCTTGCTTCCTAGACCCATAATCCGCCGCTGTTCCATGCTTTGAGTCTCCCAGTATACTCTTTATCACTTTCACGGGATCTGCGACGTTGGGTGAGGGCCGCTGCTCGAATCTGAGGGAGGATCCATTGGGTTGTCTCGCCGGGGTTGTGAGAGATGTGGTAGATGTGTTCGCACTAAGGTCAAGGGAGGCTGAGGATCTAGTTGCAGACAAACCCAGCCCTGAGAGCGTTCGCTGGGTCGAAGCAAGCTGTGAATTCTTGCGAGGAGAGGGTGAATATGGCCTCGTCGAGACGAGCGATTCACGAGAGGCACTGGGTGTTGCAGCACCAGCGGTTAAGCGGTCCAGCCACATGCTGATGGCCCACCGTCACAGAAGGCATTACCGGGGGGTGGGAATCATCAAGACATGCTTCTTGTCAGAAAATAAAGTATATCGGGAACTGTAGCCTTCGACGCTCAACTATTGATCACTGGTGATCGCGCGAGGACGGGACGCGCCAAAGCAGCAACGTGAGCAATTACGATGCCCAGCCTCGGGATATCGTTAGTCCGCAGACCGAGTATCTCCCCTTTTCCGTCGGCTTCACCTGATGGTCATCTCCAGATCTATTTGTCTACAAGCAATTCTGTTTCGACCTTAGGAGAACCCTTATTGTCATTAATTGAACGGGATGCCAAATCCGCGCCTGTAACCAAGGGATGCTTAATGGATACTCGACTCTTGTGTGACTATAACTGTGATACGGACAGACTGCCTCCAGAATTCACTCTTGAGTTGTGCAATCTACAAGCGCAGAATTTTCCATCGGTGAGACGACCAGTGGCTCCTGAATGGCCGCAAGTAAGGGTTCTTGGCCCTTTACTCCTCCGTCATGTCCATGTTAGCACTGGTTTTATGCATCTGCCATGATGCATATCATCGATTGCTTGGTTAATATCGGTGTAGGGATACTTGGTGATCAGGCGATCGATCGGGAATCGACCCTGGCTCCAGAAGTCGATGAGAGCAGGAAGAAACTGCTGCGAGTTAGCTTTGACCTGAGCCATCACCTCCGAGCGATCATACCGTCTGTGGAAATGAAGAGCCTTGACATGAGCCAACATAGCTGACGTTTCTGCCTATCCACGCCGCCGCTTCAATATTAACAAACTTCCCTGGGGGAGCTCCTCCAACTGTTGCCACTGTTCCGTTCTTGGCTGCTGCTGCAATCATAGACTCGATGACAGCAACGTTGCCTGTCGCGTCGAGAGCACAATCGACACCCTCACCGTCGGTGATGTCTTTGATCATTGCGACCACGTCTTTCCCTGCCGAATTGATCGTGTGTGTCGCACCAAGCTCTGTCGCCAGCTGCAGACGGGAGTCCACGATATCGATCGCAATCACTTTTGTGGCCGGTGTGAATCTGGCGGCCGCCATGATCGCTGCAAGACCAACCGAGCCGACTCCGAATACTGCAACCGATGCTCCTATGCCGGGCTTGAGAACATTCAAGACAGTGCCGGCCCCCGTTTGAACTCCGCAACCTAGACAGCAAAGAATGTCTAGTGGGACGGTTGGCGAGACCTTGACCGCGCAGACTCCGCTCACAATGGAGCGAGCGGCGAAAGAAGACTGGCCAAAATAGGTTGAGTTGATATCGACTCCGTTGAGAGAGAACGGCTTGCTCCCATCCAGGCGACATCCGCCAAAAGATAAATGATACCCGTGTCGACAGTATGCCGGGTTTCCTCGACGGCAAGGGGTGCAATTCCCACAATAGTTGAACGACAAAAGCACATGATCTCCAACCACCACATGTTTCACCTCAGAGCCGACTTTTTCAACCACCCCGGAACCTTCATGGCCGAGGATAGCTGGTAATTGAGGGCCTCTATTCCCTATGGAAGTAGCCACGTCCGTATGGCAGACACCCGTCGCTACCATGCGGACCACAATCTCATCGGGTCGCATATCATTCAGTTGTACTTCTTTCACTTCGAACGGTCCATGTTTTTCAGAGACAACCAGAGCGACTGTGCCCCCTAAGCTATTAGACGTCGAATCGGGTGCCATTTCGTGCTTTGGGTGCCGTTGTAAGGTCCCTTGGAGACAAAGCGGCAGTTATAGCAACCACAGACGGGTCACGTGGTGTCATTGTACGTGGCTCACGGCCGGTATATGAATCCGAACAATGACCGGGTATGCCGGGTAAGCGGCTGGTTGTGGTAGCTGCTGACCTGAATACAGCCGACAGCAGTCTCCTAACGGGACAATCGAGTTCGCTAACTATTACTTTCCCCGTCTAGTATTGTTATGGTTCTGACTTGGAGAAACTCGTCCATTCCCCACTGGCCCCCGAATCTACCGAACCCACTCTCTTTTGCTCCTCCATGTGGTAGAAAAGGTTCATCGTGGATCGTCATGGCATTGATATGGCAGGCGCCAGTCTCGATCCGTTTGGCACACTTCAACGCCTTCGGAATATCCTGGGAAAATATGCTCGCTGAGAGACCGTATTCCGAGTCGTTGGCCAAGCTAACTGCTTCGTCCACAGTGTCGACGATGGTCAAACTGATGGTCGGTCCAAAGCTCTCGGTATAGAACAATGCCATGTCCTTTGTTACGCCACTGAGAATTGTTGGTTGAAGAGATGCATTGAGACGCGCGGCATGTCCAAATTCTAGATGAGCGCCCTGTTCTACTGCAGCTTCGACCAAGGATTCTGTTCTCTTCGCTCCGTCAGTGGACACGGCATTGCCGGCGATAAATGCTTCGGCTTCTGTTTTGAGTATCTTCAAGAATTGCTCGGAAACCTCCCGCATGACGATCACTCGCTCCGTCGCCATGCAGATTTGCCCGTGCTATATTGTGTCAACGCCGTTCTAGATTCCAGGGGGACCAACTCACGTGCAAGAACCCTCCCATCACAACGGCCTTTGCGGCTTTGATCAAGTCCGCATCTTCAAGGACAATGCACGAAGCTTTGCCGCCCAGCTCCAACAAAACAGGCTTGAGGTGACGGCCAGCTTGCTGTGCGATGATTCTTCCCACCGCCGTCGAACCTGTAAAGTTGATTTTTCGAACTGCTGGGTGCGATATCATGGCATTTATCACTTCGGCTGCATCTTCTCGGCAGTGCTGCACGATATTCAGCACTCCAGGCGGCAAGCCCGCGTCGCGGAAAACTTGTCCAATGATGTGGTGAGTCTTAGGACTCAATTCTGACGCCTTGAGGACAGCGGTGTTTCCGCATATGATCGGTGTGGCTACTGCTCGAATTGCCAGGATGAAGGGGGCGTTCCACGGCGCAATCCCCAGGACAACCCCGTAGGGCACCTTGAAGACAAGAGCCAAGCGACCTTTCGCCGTTAGCTGGGAACTTGCGGGATCCAGGGCTTACACACTTTCAGTCTCTGTCGTCGGTAACCAACCAGTGCAGGCAGAAGTGGCAAGGCTGGCGAGTTCTTCCAAGAACTCAACTCCCATGTGCATATTGATTCCAGCAGCCCATTGTCTGCTGCAATTGGTCTCTTGAACCATGATGTCAATAATCTCGTCCCGTCGGGATCTGAACAACTCTGCAGCTTTGAAGAAAATGCGCCTTCTCTCTGTTGGATGGGTGTGCGCCCATGATTGAAATGCTTTGGAAGCAGATTCAACGGCCGCTTGAGCAAGTTCCACATTGGCAGACGATGCAGTCCATACTGTCTTCTGAGACGTCGAATTTATGACGCTGAATGTGGTTTCCGACTGCACCGGCTTGTTGTCGATCCAGAGAGGAACATTGTCCATATGCTGGCCATTCGAGCTAATGTCGCCCATTTTATCTCGTTGTCCGATATATATTGGAGAAACTCGACTCTCCGACTCCGCTGATCGCGCATCGTTTTTGGTGGGAACCGGTACATTTTATGCACAAGTCTTTGTTCGGCTCTTCTCAACTTCGTCCACGTCTGCGGTTCCATCGACTAAGCACTTTCTGGAACTGGCAGACCATGTTTCAGAGCCTGAGAACTCGGTCTGTCTAGGTCACGTGTGTCTCTGTGTTGTGCTGGGGTTTGTTACTCTTCGCGGGAGACGATCCCGTACAGGCAGGATCGAGTTACCGAGCACCACTCCAACACCATCCTGAAGGCATACCTGTGCCGGAAGGCGATGCTCTGGGCCTGCCATTCGAAATTTTGTACCCTCCATTCTGTGACCTTGTACCCCGCCTCCCCGGGCGTGTAAAAAGGATTGCCCAAACTTCTCGGCCATCCCTATAGGTATTCTTGTGACTGAAATTTTCAATATCAAGATCCAATTCTGGTGTCGCCTACGACCGAGTCATAGCCTCTTCTCGTGTGCCAGCCGCGATGCCTTCGTCCGAGACCACAGCGCCAACTGGAGTGTATACGAATGGTGTCGAAAACGGTAATGCCAACGGACACTCGCATTCAGGTACCAATGGAAGTGATCCATACTTGAAAGCCAATCACCCTCTAAGTATCATCATTGTCGGAGCGGGTGTGGCAGGGCTGGCGCTGGCCGGCATATTAGGCCATTCGGGGCACAAAGTTATTGTTTTGGAAGCAGCACCGGTGATTGCTGAAGTGGGCGCAGGAATTAATTGCTCTCCAAACCTCACACGCCTCCTGAGTCGATGGGGTCTCGACAAGCGTGTCCGCCAACACACGAATTCTCTCACACGAATTGATTTGAGGAGATGGAAAGACGGCGAGTTTCTCGGTGCAGCCACCCTCATGCCCGAGATTGAGAGGAGACACGGGGCGCCGCAGTATGCGATTCACCGTGCGGATCTCCACGAAGCCTTGATGGGAGAGGCCGAGGCGGTGGCCGAAGTTCGCATCAACAGCATGGTTACAAGTCTTGACTTTGACAAGCCTTCGGTGACTCTCTCGGATGGCAGCGTCCTTGAGGCAGATGTGGTTGTTGGTGCAGATGGTGCGTGTGTCAAATCATGTCTTGCTCTTCTACTCACATAGCCAGGGATGAAATCTACCTGCAGAAGATTGATTTACCAAAAGCTTGGTCTCCTCGACAAAGCGAAGCCAACGGGAGACGCGGCATTTCGGGCATGCATACCCTTGGAGCTTGTTACAGATCCAGAACTGCGAGCCTTCATCACAGAACCCGTGGCAACAAGATGGATGGGTCCAGACAGACATGTACAGGCTTATCCCATCCGCCATGGAAGCCTTTATAATATGGTATGAAAGCGTTTTGTGCCTGGTTCGCATCACTCATTGAATTTGTAGGTCATGTGCCACCCAGACACGGGCTTCTCGGAGGAGTCCTGGACTGCGAAAGCCTCTAAGCAGGAGATTTTGGATCACTTTGGGTCATGGGATCCTGTTCGGTTGCGCAAGCTTTTGGATTTTATCCCCGACGAGAACGTGATGAAATGGCGACTGTGCGAGCATGATCCACTTCCAACCTGGGTGACGGGAAAGGTGGTGCTGCTGGGTGATGCTTGTCATCCCATGCTCCCTTACGTCGCCCAAGGGGCGGCTCAAGCGATTGAAGACGTCGGCGTCATTTGTTTGGCCCTCAACCAGGTATCCAAGCCAGAGGAGATACCTACACTTCTCAAGGCTTTTGAGGTAGCTCGAAAAGCCCGTGCAGAGCACGTCGCCAGCACAGGTGGCGCCACACGCCGAGTCTTGCACCTCCACGATGGGCCGGAACAACAGGCAAGAGATGAGAAGTTCAAGTCAGTGTCCAAGGGCGGGGAGAACCCGGACCTGCTGGGCGACGCGAAGGCACAGTCATTCCTGTGGGGGTATGATCCAGAGAAGGAGTTCTTGGACAATTTTGAGAGTAAGTACCTGCACCCTGGAAATACTGAGGAGGGCATCCCTGCTTAACTCCCACCCAAGGTCTGACCCGGAAGGCACAAGACCTTCTCGCTGAGCCGACGACGCGAGTGATGGATCTGTAAGGGCCGTGCTTAGCTAGGATGTTTAGATTCCTTAGAGCCATGAGTAATGGAAACTGAGTTGGCTTGAATCATCTGCCATTCGTAAGACTGTATCACGGTGTATGCCCATGCCAGAGGAATGTTATGGCTTCGTAGTGGTATCTCGTCGTGGCAGAATGCAGCTATGGTGGCCAGGAGCAACGAGTATATCCCACAGTCTTGTCATGGGAATACGGCGAGGCAGCGACGAGGCTGTGACGCCGGGAGGATCACCCGGCAACATGCCGCTTTGTGCCCATAAGCCCCACTCATCAGCCCTAGCCGAGGCACACAAATTTGTCGGTGTTTATATTTCAGAGTCCCAAAAAAGGTTACTTGAAGTCGCATCGACAGCGGAGCTTCGATAGCTCAGTGGTAGAGCGAGAGATTGCAGTATTCCATTACTCGAATATCTCTAGGTCACGTGTTCGAACCACGTTCGGAGCTTTTTGGCTGTTTTTTGTTTCACTGTCTATAGTTCGAGATTGACCGATATCAGAATCGATGTTGTTTTTGGTTTCTTCGACTGGAATCCCCCACAGTAATTGTGATGTCCTCTTCCTTCAGCATCTATCGTTTTTGCGGACTGTGGAGCTTGTCACGGTGCATGCCCAATCAGCACGAATGTGCGAATTCACTTTCTTTGTCTGGCCTCCCCTGCTACTCATTCATTGTGACATGGAGTACAAAGACCTAGAGGGCTGTGCAAAACAGCTGCCTAATGTCGGTCTATCACGTTTCCCCTCAATCTGGCCATCTAGACCTATCTCATGGCGGACATAGTAGATGACACTTTCCACCGCCGGCTTCTATCCGTCAAGAATCGCCACCCTAGCCAGGTTTTCGCTCGGTGTCAAGCCTGATGCAGGCTGCTTCCCACGGTCTCACCAGAGATAAATCCACCGTGCCATGGCCTGGCAAGTCATGGTCATGTCCGGCCAGCGATTCCGAAGATTCTACGCCCGAGTGGATGACAAAGTTGTCCGTCAAGGCTACCAATTTCCCGCGGGATTCGTTTCCGACCCCGGACAAGTACCCCGGATTGACGCGAACCCCGGACTATGCCCGCTTGGTCTGGACTGAAGTGTGTGGCTACCTTGTGTGGGAAGCATATTAACAAGAGATGACCTTGTCCATATCAACTTTAGCCACACTGTGGTGGCCACAGCACAACGAGTCAAAATCATGGCAGAAGAGGAAAAGCATACGATCCATGCCGAGGACGTGCCAGTCGATGCTACAGCACACCTGGCCCACGATGACCAAGAGGTGAGTCAAGTGACGAACATGTCTGGGGCCAAGTTTCTAAAGAGGAGACAGATTGAGATGGACAATGGAGAGATTCTCCTCCGGCTCACCCCTGGCGCTGAGAAAGGGTCCGGCGTGAACAACCTCAAGCTCGCCAAAGATGGCCAAACCGTGCTGATCCCCCAACCATCTGACGACCCAGATGATCCGCTGAACTGGTCGTCCTTCAAAAAGCACATGATCCTCATCTGCGTGGCGTTTGGAGCCTTTGCCGGTGACTTTGGATCCGGGGCCGGGGTCGGCACCATCGTCGTGCAGGGGATCGAATGGAACATGTCCCCCGTGGTCGTCAACTACGCTGGCAACTTGAACGTCATCATGTGCGGTGTTTCGGGCCTCATCTGGATGCCGCTGCTCAACTACTGGGGCCGCACGCCCGTGCTGTTCTGGAGCTCCGTCATGGGCGCGGCCTTTACGCTGGGCTCGGCGCTGGCACCCAATTTTGCCGCCTTTTACGGCTTCCGAACGTTGCAGGGCGTCACGCAGAGCACGGGCCAGACGATCGGGCTGGCCTTCATCCACGACATGTTCTTCTTCCACGAGCACGCGCGCAAGATCGGCGTCTGGTACGCCATCTACATCATCTCGCCCTTTGTCGGCCCCTTTTGCGGCAACTTCATCGTGGGCACGTTGGGCGAGTGGCGCCCGGTCTTCTGGCTCGTCTTTGCCTGGTCGTGCTTCCTGCTCTGCCTCACGCTGATGTTCGGCGACGAGACCTACTACAAGCGCTCGGTGCCGCAGCCGCAACAGCCCCCACGACCCGGCGGTCAGCTGGGGCGACTGTCGCGGGTGCTGGGCGTGTGGCAGATCCAGTACCACGGGAACGGCTACTTCTCGACGCTGCCGCGGTGCTACGGGCGGCTGGGCGAGGTGCTGCTCAAGCCGGTGATCCCGCTGTCGATGCTGTTCTACCTGATGATATTCATGTGGTCGGTGGGGATCAACATCACATCGTCGATCCTGCTCCAGACGCCCGTCGAGGCCGGCGGGTACGGCTTCAGCTCGATCGCGTGCGGATACATGTACTTTACGCCGTTTGTGGCCATCCTGATCGGCGAGGCGTTTGGGCACTACTTCAACGACTGGGTCGCGGCGCGCTACGTGACGCGCCACCACGGCCTGTTCGTGCCCGAGACGCGCCTGTGGACGAACTACATTGGCGGCGTCTTCATGGTGCCCGGGCTCGTGCTGGTCGGCGAGGCCCTGCAGCGCCACTGGCACTGGGTCGCCATCGTCTTTGGCTGGGGCATGTTCCAGTTCGGCGTCATGGTCGTCTCGGTCGCCACCGTCGCCTACGTCCTCGACTGCTACCCGTCGGCCTCGGGCGAGGTCTCGGCCCTGCTCAACTTTGCCCGCGTCCTCGGCGGCTTCACCGTCGGCTACTTCCAGCAGTCGTGGGGGCTGAAGATGGGCTTCGACGTCTCCTTTGGTCTGCAGGCCGTCATCGTCGTCGCCGCCTATGTCATTCTCGTCTTTGTCCAGGTCTATGGCGCCCGTCTGCGTCGCTGGGCGGGGCCTGGTTCGAATCACTCTGTGAGAGAGGAGGG